AAGGTGGCTATGGATGGGTCGTCAGCACAATGGCTGTTCACTGACTTCACCCTGCTACTTGCCTTGTCATCTCCCCCTCCTCCTCCCGTTCCTTCCCCCCAGGTGCGTGCAGGGTTGGTGGACGGCACTAAGGTGGCTATTGATGGGTCGTCAGCAGGTGGCTTCACCACCCTCTCAGCTCTCACCTTCCGATCCACTTTCAAAGCCGGATGCTCCCTGTACGGGGTAAGGCATGGTGTGCTGTTGTACTTTCTGTAGCACTGCTATTGCACCTCTCGTCTTTAATTGCTTCTTCTGGTATGGGGTGATGGGCTTCAGATATCACCACCCTCACAGCTCCCACCTTCCACTCGACCTTTAAAGCCGGATGCTCCTTGTATGGGGTAAGGCCTGCTCAGACCGCCCCTTTCACAGCAATTAGTAGCACTACATAGCACCGCCATGTTTGCTCCCATCATTCCATCATTGACTTTTTGAACAAACTCGTTTCGTCATTTCTAGCTCCCAGGCCCCCCCTCCCCCCCCCCCCCCGGTGGCCTCACCCTGACCTACTCAGTCAATGCTCGTTCTAGCTCAAACCCACCTGAACCTACACGCTGTGTATTGCCTCCTTTCCAGTGGTATCCCTGCATGGCCGGTTGCTAAACCCTAAATCTATCATATATGATGGTGATTTCCTGCATTTATGACATTTATCGTCCTCTCTCCTGGCATTGAGCAGATTGGAGATCTCGAGGCTCTGGTTCAGATGATGCGCAAGTTTGAAAAGTGAGGTGGCTTTGAGTCGACTCAAAGAACAATCCCTGCCTGCTCCCTCCTGACATTGAACAGATTGGAGATCTCGAGGCTCTGGCTCAAATGATGCACAAATTTGAAATGCACTACACTGATACACTCGTTGGTGAGTTATTTATTTCTTCAGATCATACCTTGTTTAAGCGTCTCCTGACAGTGTACTTCCAGTGCAGCATATGAGATTTAATATACTGTCTTTGTTTTTGTTGTGACGTGCGAAAGGCTAAATCAAATCAGTGTTTAATGTAGAAAGTGGGGCGCTCAAGTATTTAATTCCTCGGCAATAATTCATGATTCTCTTTTGAGAACGCACTACTGGGTATGGAGGATAAGTATACCTCAGGAGAATTCCTCCCTTTTTCGTCTGCTTCTCCCCCCTCTTTCTTCCAATCCCCCAGCACCATACAACACTCCCGAGGGAAAGCAGCTGTACAAGGAACGTTCACCGATCAACCACGTGGACAAGCTCGCATGCCCCTTGCTGCTGCTGCAGGGACTTAAAGACCAGGTACGGTGAGAACGGTGAAAGATCTAGTGATTATAGGTCGTATCCAAAAAGAAGTTTGAGGAGCCTAAACACCAGGTGCATTGAACATGTGAGGTTCAGGTTTCATGTTATAACCAGATCTGTGAGCCAAGCAGACTCTCCATAAGAAATCTTGACAAAATCGTATATTTTACTCGGCCTCAGTCAACATTTCCCTATTCCTCCCCTGTTTGTCGACCTGCTTCAATGCATATCCCACGACCCATCCACGTCCACATCTTCTCTTACCTCTCCGTCCCGTCTGCAGCATCCGCACCTCGACAACGCCCAGCCATGCACGCTGCAGTCAAGTCCAAGCGGGTGCGCCTGTCTGCCTCAGAGCCACATGATTATACCCATCTCATTCCTTTCTTGCCTTTATTCCCTTCCTGTTCGCTTCTCTCTTCTCCTCACCAGGTTTTGCGTCCCGACCATGTCTGGGCCATGCACGCTGCGGTAAATTCCAGTAGTCTGTTTGTCTGTCTAAAGTCCATCTGGATACTCCGTTTGTTCCCTCTCTTCCTCTGTATCGTGCCCCTTTCCCCATCTCACCAGGTGGTGAGTCCTGAGCAGGCCCGGGCCATGCACGCTGCAGTGAAGGCCAAGGGTCTGCCGGTGGCTATCGTTGAGTTCCCAGATGAAGACCACGGCTTCAGGAATGTGAGTATGGTGAAGCCATGTGGGTATGGTGAAGCCATGTGGGTATGGTGAAGCCATGTGGGTATGGTGAAGCCATGTGGGTATGGTGAAGCCATGTGGGTATGCTGAAGCCATGTGGGTATGGTGAAGCCATGTGGGTATGGTGAAGCCATGTGAGTATGGTGAAGCCATGTGGGTATGGTGAAGCCATGTGGGTATGCTGAAGCCATGTGGGTATGCTGAAGCCATGTGGGTATGCTGAAGCCATGTGGGTATGCTGAAGCCATATGGGTATGCTGAAGCCATGTGGGTATGCTGAAGCCATGTGGGCATGGTGAAGCCATGTGGGTATGGTGAAGCCATGTGGGAACAGTGACTTTATGCAAGTGTAGCTTATGTTTCAAGAAGGCGGTGATAGTGAAAATGGCATCCGCCATGTGTGGATGAAGGGCGGAGAACATCCAGGCTGCACTGAAGGTGGTACACTAGTACTTCTGCCATGGCTTGCTGAAAAAGATCCATCGTAATCTTTTGCACACTCGTTATGCATCGACTCAACCCACCATTACCGTACCACTATCCTTACATGGTGACATGGCAGGCGAACAACATCAAAGCAGCACTGGAGATGGAGCACGCGTTCTTCTGCCGTGTCTTGCTGACTCTTTCCATGTACTCACCATTGTTCATGTCTATGTGGTTATGTGGTAACATGGCAGGCGGACAACAAACAGCTCTGGAGATGGAGCACGAGTTCTTCTTCCGTGTCTTGCTGAGTTATATTTCATTGTGATCCTATGTGGTTACGTTGTAACCTTGCAGGCGGACAACATCAAAGCAGCACTGGAGATGGAGCACGAGTTCTTCTGCCGTGTCTTGCTCAATCTGCCTCTTCCATCTGACAAGAAGCGGCTGACCATTGACAATGTTGATGAAGAAGCGTAAGCTGCTAAACACTAGCGGTCTACATGTTCAGTGAACATCACTAACTTCTTGGCTGTAGCTGTGTGAGGGAGGTGGACCAAGTTGAGTGAGAGTATTGATAGAATAATGTTTGTGGGACTGAACTGAAGCAAATAGATGTCCATTATTAGTGCTGCATATCAACCACAAACTCTGAGCGGCAACTAACTAAAAGATATGGCTACAGCAGCAACAGCTACCATAGTAACGTGAAACAAAAAAGATGACACCAATTATACACAAATGTGGCAACGAAGTAGAGGAACCAGGTTTGTCAAGAGTTTTTCTTTGACTCGGCAGACCCATTCACTGCACTCCCTTCACCGTTTGCCAGTATGGGTTCAGCCTCCTACAGGCACGAGATGATGCAGGAGTGTGTGGGGAATAACTAAGTTAGGAAAACAAATTTCAGCAGAGGAAAGAAGATGTGGTCAGGTGCAGCAGCGAGGGTAGGATGCATGGACGAAGCGAGACAGAATAATTTAAAAAAAAAAGCCGCTAGGGAGGCGGGACGTGTGACAAACGGTGTTTGCGAGAGGCGAGAGGGGAGGGGAAGGAGCGTGGGGATGAGGAGGGAAGGGGGGTTTGGTTTGGAAGGAGGGAAGGGGGAGGAGAGGGAGGGGGAGAAGAAGAGGTGGCCGGACAAACGAATGGAGGTCCTCAAACAGAGTCATAAAAAGGGGTGTACTTACTGGTAGTGGTTTTCTCGCTCCTGGCTTGTACGGACAGGAAGGACCATCTCGAAGCGGTGGATTGTACTCTCGGCCAATCAGACGGAAGAAGAGAACCTGCAGCGACATGGCGATAGTAGTACGAGGATGATACGACGGTGATAAGCGGACGATACGATGGTGATAAGTGGACGAATCCGGAGAGATACGGTGCATCGCATCAACTGAACTACGTAAGAATAGTAACGTAAAACGATGTCGCAAACTGTTATCAAAGAAGGAACACTACCAAACCAAGCGGGAGATTAAGGAGCTGTCTTGGAGGGATTCGTTGATTGTAAGCCGTTGCGACTTACAATTAGTTTGTCCCACAAACGAGGGAGGATGTTGACTAGAGGCAGTAGGAAGAGAGGGAGAAGACAGAAAACGCACACCTGCAGCGACGAGGATAAAAGAGACAGGATGAGATGTTAACAGCTTTCAACTCAGCCTGAACTGACCGAACTCAGCCTGAACTCAGCCTGAACTGAGCGCAAGCGAAACACGACCGTACCATGATTGCTTCTCCTGGAGAATAAGTAAATCAGCAAGGAACCTGGATGATAAGAATTGGATATTAACTTCCTGGCGTAAATCGTGTCGCCGTAACAACGTAGCGTCGGGGTCTAGAATCTAGTAAGGGATGGAACTGCTGGGTGATCTGCTTGAAGGGTCCATGGATGGAACACGCATGTCACACACATATAACTGAGCCTGATTCTCAGGGCGTGCTTGATACCAGGCTGGATGTAAGTCAGGGAACAAGTTTCGTGTAGTATCACCAAGAAACATTCTACAACAGGGAACAAGTACGCATATTTCCATTCCTTATATGCCATCAGGAACTTGAGGATCGCTTTCGGATTCAAACCCAGGAATCTGAAACACTGCCTGAGAACTTGTCGAGTGTTTTTTAGGTGAGGTGAGAGCTCCCGCCCAAGCGTGTTGGCTACGAACCTGTCCGATGCTTCGTCTGTCAGATGGGTTCGGTAGAAGGCCGATCGTTTCTGTGCTTACTCTCACTCGTATTTTCACATTTTCCTCTGTTTTCGTAAGCTGGATCCCAAGGAAATCATCCTAGCTTCAAGGTTATTGTTCCGCAGTTAGCATTCCAGCTTTGAAAGTCAGGTGCGCTGTCAATATTCCACAAACAGAAATTCGATCTTTCTGTGACGCGTATAGCGAATCCGCACATTGATAACAGATCCTCCTAAAGTCTAGACCAAACGATCAGTCACTACTGATGCTCTGACAGCCCAATCGACAGAACCGTGACGACCGCTGCCTCTCACACGCGCATACTCTTCGTCTCCCCTTCCTGCTTCTGCTCTCACACGTGAACACTCGCTAGGGTTGGGTTTGTTGAGATGGACGAATTCGAGAGTTTAATTCAGAGTTTCTCAGGTGCCCTCAAGTCGAAATGGAAAGAGGTTACCGACGGCCCTCCGATCACCGACCAGATTCAGGCCTTCATCCACGCCGTTGATTGGACGGTGAGACCCTCTTCCACACCTGATATTGGCATATCTTTGAGCGAATCAGCTGGTTGGAATCCGCAGTCACACGGAGCATGCATGGATGTAGCTGGTTTGCCGTTCTTGCCTAGAAAATCTGTTCCTTTGAAATCTCACGGCCATCATTCCGATCTTTCCGCCGTTCGCGCGGCTCCGGTTGACGAATCGCAGGAGCCATGGATCATCGGGCTGCTGTCGTTCCACGCGGCGTTGCTTCTCATGGTGCTCCTCACTCGCCGATGGCAGAACTTTCAGTTCATCGTCTTCGCCTTCTGCGGTGAGTGCACGTGGTTTGCACGTGTTCAGGTGAGTGCACGTGGTTTCCACGTGGCCAGGTGACTGCACGTGGTTTGAACGTGGCCAGGTGAGTGCACGTGGTAATTGCACGTGACCAGGTGAGTGCACGTGGTAATTGCACGTGGCCAGGTGAGTACACGTGTCCAGGTGAATGCACGTGCCTTATGCAGTGAGTCCACGTGTCGTTTGAGATAACGTTCACTTCCAGATCGGATCCCTCATCTGTTTGTCCCCCGCACACATGGCAATGGCAGATTTTTCACCTCCCACCCTTCGCCATGTGTGCATTGAGTACGTTCAAGGGGTGCACTACGATTGAACTTACAGCCCTTTCCCTATTTTCCCCTCATTGTTTGTGGTCGCGGCGCTGTTTGGCAATGCGCTTGTTCACCTTGATCCACCCCGTTTCTTCCCTTTCTGTTCACCCGCTCCCAAACTCCCTCCATTCCTCCGTCCTCCAACCCACCCATCTGCAACCCACCCATCCTACCCATCTGCGACCCACCCAACCCACGCATCTGCAAGAGGGGTTTAGCGTTCAGGACTTCAGGTTTACAAACTGTTGTATTCTGATGCACCCTCCGTAAACCCGCCCAACCCGAAACCCTGCAACTACAACAGGCATTCGGGTACTAGGGTGTGCTTATAACTGCATTCTCCGCTCGTTCTGTACCGCTCATTCTCCTGCTTACTCGTTGTGCACTTGTTTGGTAGCATAGTTAGACGAGTTTTGTTGAGACGTCTTAAAATTCATAGTGCACAGATTGGGTGGCCCACATAAACGCATACAACCCTTTGCACCTGGATTTCTGGCGGCACCTCCGACTACCCGTCTCGCTCCCCCCTCCCCCTCCACCCCCTATCTTCGCGCTCCTGTCTCCCTCTCATGCGATTCTGCAGCCATAGTGATGTTACTCAAACGCAATCTGTACTTTTTCATTTTCCCCTCCGGCTCCCCCGAAACCCTCCCGCCCCTCTCTTTCTCCCCTCCATGAAATCATGCAGCCATGCTGGTGTATCTAGCGGAGCACATAAACGCATATGCTGCCTTGTTTTCCCCACCCACCCCTCTTATCCACTCGTGCTTCCCCTTTCCTTGCCTTCCTCCCCCCCTTCTCTCCCCCCTTCTGCAGTTTCTCAGCTATACGGGCGTATCTAGCAGAGCGTTTTTGAGAATTCTCAGAAACACCCTCAGACATACGGGCGTATCTAGCAGAGCGTTTTTTAGAATTCTCAGAAACACCCTCAGCCATACGGGCGTATCTAGCAGAGCACATAAACGCGGTCTACTCTCATACTGATAACTTTCGCCCTTCTCTTTCCATCTCTCCCCTATCCAACCGTGCAGCCATTCTAGTGTATCTAGCGGAGCACATAAATGCGTATGCGGCGCATCACTGGAAGCTGTTTTCCCGCCAAAACTACTTTGACCAATACGGGCTCTTCGTCTCAGTGCTCTTCTCAGGGCCTATACTCGTCATCGCGATTGTCATTCTGGTGAGAAATTTGCAAGTGCTGGTAACGGCTAGTTGTCTGACCCATCCAAGTCACCACTGCTCCAGCCCGCTACTTGTGATTGGGATTGCCAGTTTGGTAAGCAGGGACAGGTATGGACATAAGCGCACACGCGGCGCGGCGCTGCAGTACGGGCTCTTAGTCTCGGTGCTCTTCTCTGGGCCCATACTCGTCAGCGGGATTGTCATCCTGGTGAGATAACAACACCAAGTGCTGGTAACTGCTAGTTCTAGGGTTCTTGACCCACCCGAGTCAGCTCTTCTCTGGGCCCATACTCGTCATCGGGATTGTCATCCTGATGAGAAGATATCAAGAGCTGGTAGCTTAGTTAGTTTCAAGTTTCCCCGAATTGCCTCTTCTCAGGCCCCATACTCGTCATCGCGATTGTTATTCTGGTAAGAAAACAGGAATTGTTAGTAGCTCAGCTCGTTGTCAGGTTGACCCACCTGAAGACCCACCCAGATCTGCTCCTCTCAGGCCCCATACTGGTCATCAGGATTGTCATTCTGGTAAGCAGAGACGGTTATGCAGTGCACTGGTTGTGGAAGATTAGCTCAAGTCAGCTCTTCCCAGGCCCCATACTCGTTATCAGGATTGTCATGTTGCTGAGAAGATATCAAGTGTAAGGCACAGCTCGTTTTCATATTAACCCACCCAAATTAGATTTTAGAGATTGTCATTCTGATAAGCAGGGACCAAGTTTCTGTAGCGCAGGTAAATGAGTTACGTTGACCCGAGCTAGCTCCCTCCAGGCCCTATCTGAGCCATTGGGATTGTCATTCGGCGATCGGAGTTGCTACTCGTGCCGTAAGAAGTGCCATTCTGGTGTTCAGATGCTGGTGTTTGTCGTATTTTTAAGGTGCCTCATAAATCCTTGTGGCAACGCGATGCCAGTGTTTGTGACGCGGCATGGGTCAGACTTGATGAGACACTTCAAAAGCTGATTCAGTAAGCTAGGCCCTTCAAGGGACTCTAAACTTGATGAGACACCAATCTGGATTGTTTTTTTAGGCGCCTCAAGGGACTCACCGAATGTGATATATCTCGCGAAGGCTTCCGTTCCGCTGAGCTGGACTTTTGCTACACCCACGTGCATGCACCCCTTGCACCAGGCGTACTTCTCCTTCCATCGTATTCTCCTCCTTCCCTCCTCCCTGGTACCGTATGTGCATGTGCTGAACTTGGCTTGTTCCTTGCGTCATACTCCATCCATACACATGCTGCACTGTTTTTGTATGTAGCATGTGCAGGTGCAACTAATGATCAGAACATTTGAACTGATGGTTAAGAGGAAAAGGCAGAGCCTGACCTGGTGACTCCTCCTTGGTCATGCGGTAACCCCCTCCCTCATGATGCACTTTGTACATGCCTACTCAAACTTTTCCATGTGTAAGTGCAGGTGCAACTAATGATCAGTACGGTTGAACTGATGGTGAAGTGGAAGAAGGCAGAGCTCAAGCACAGGGCGAGAAAGGCAGCACAGCAGGAGAGGAGAAAAAAAGAGTAGATGGAGTGCGATAGCACATGCTGAGTCGAGTTGCAGTTAGGTTCCCCCCCTCTCCTCCCCCCAACCCAAAACAAAAGACAAATTCTAATATGGTTTTGCCATCTATTGAACAAGAGAGTTTTGATGCAAAATATAGAAACCGCCAATGTTCAGTGTTTGTAAGGCATGGAGAAGAGATGGATCAAATCTAATCGGTATACTGGTACTTGGATGTACTTTCCATGCAAAACGGACTTCTTCCAGATTCATGCACGGGGCAAGCAATACAATTCATTCACAGCGCAGCACCACATAAGAAATCCACAAAACCGTAACAACACCAGCATTTGGGAATTGGAGCGTAATCTCTCAACATTGTGTCATTATGTTACCAAAGGATCACTACCAAACGCTAACACGCGTCGCACTGTAGTGGAGCAAACTCCAAACATTCACACTGGTAACGGCCGAACTGAGTCCACACCCTGGAGGATAAAAAACTTGCCACGGAAAAGCTTCCCACCCTTGATCTTCACCTTCGATTTATCCACCTTGCGACCGTTCACATCCTTCAGATCTTTCGCGCCCTTGATATCACCCTCCTCGTAAAGTCCGTCAAGAATGTTCGCGCGAATCAAACTCTTGTAGGAGCGAACCTCGCTCGGTTTCACGCTCGGTTTGATCATGGAGTAGAGCGCGTCAGGGACCGCGGAAGCGATGGCCAGGTCTTCTGGGATCAGCACGGTTTTGCGGTCAGCTTTGTCGAGAAAATCGTCCGTTGGGTTCCAATCGGTCTCTGAATCACACGAAAAAGGAATCGTAATATGTCCAAGGATTAGCAAAAGCATGCTATGGTTACAAACGAAGACTTAAGAAATCTAGCGAAGGATGAAAGGGTGAAAGACGCGCAAACGCACTCCCACACGCGCACACGTGCACGCATACGCGCGCACGCGCAGCGCGCTTACCCATCAGTGGGGGATGATGTTATTTAGGAACGCGACCCTGGTCCAGTGACGGACGTTCAGTTTGGGGTCATTGAGCAAATCTATTTTTTGAGAATTCTAAAAAAACAGATAAACACACACACGTAGCGCGCTTACCCAACTGGGGGATGATGTTATCGAGGAACGTGACGCTGGCACGGTGTCGGCCGTTCAGTTTCCGGTCATTGAGCGCGTCTCGAGCCTTCTTCACCTCCGCGATAAAATCTCCCTTGGTGGGCCGCGCCGCAGCAGGCGCGAGGAGCAACGCGAGAGTGCAGACGGCGAGAACGGTAAGGTACCAGGATGACGCCATGGCGTCTGTGTGAAGTTGAACAGGGGGTAACTGGAAAACTGGCTTGTGCAGCTGTCAAGGAGCGGCACAGGTGTATCATTGAGCAGGGGTGTGAGTGACACCTTCGTGCTTGTCCTGTCACTGCGAGAACGTCCCTTCAAGGGTGCATCACAGCAGCAGGTTCTGTTTGTAACGTGATGTGACTGATGGCACATCTCCTCCAAGTGTTTCACTAGTTCCCCTGGAAAGATGCCCGCCAAGGGAGTGCTACTTAAACATTCGGAAGCAAGTGGTTTAAATGACGGATCGATACACCTTACTCACCCAAGACACTTGGCCAGTATCACACGGTTGAATGGCGGTTGGAGTTCAAGAATTGATCGATAACGATGGATCCACAATAACCGAGCTGGGATTTTTGTCGCAATTGAGAAATACTTTTGGGAAATTATTTATAGTTGTTTTGATTCTACACCACCCGGTCAAGGGTATCTTGTTCATGAATGTTCAGTCGGCTGTGAATTTCGTTGACCGACACTTCCGCTGGCCTGGCAGGATCCAAATCGCTGTGCCGTGCCTGCCAGCCACCAGTCCCACCCCATCCCAACCCATGCCACACCTTCCGCCCCAGAAGGATCCCTTCGCCCGCCACTCTGGGGCGTGGGAGAAGTGAACATGCAGCGCCCTTTTCATTTTCCGAATGCCTCCTATATTTGGAAGTGGCTGGTGACTTTGTTCCATTCAACAGTGCGGCTGGAAAAAACTTTGGCAACTTCGGCTTTCATCAAGAACTTTGGAAAGTCTTCTCATCCCAGAAAGAATTGTTTCAAGACAGTAGTTTCAAAAGGGAAATTAGGGTAATACTTTGTATACCCAGATTGTTGGCTGGAAATGATGGGGTTTGACAATGACCTCACAACCTTTCCTCACAACAACCTCCCCTTCAAGGCTGACTGGGGTCGCCCCCAACCCCAACCAGCCAACTCCTTGGAGGACGCACTCTTCTTGACTCTCGCTTGCAGCTTCCCAAACCTATCCCTGCGTTCAACCAGCCACGTCAGGCAGTCGACACCAGGGGTCTCGATTCGTTTTGTGCCACCCTGTCAAATCAAAGTTTCAGGTCGAAGTTACACTGCCACTGCAGTGTTGCTGCCGTGTCGTACCCTAGAAATGGCAGGGTGTTGAAATATTTCTGGTCCGGTGGTAGGGTGAAATTTAAACTAGGCTGCAGCGGTCCAATCTGAGTGACTGTCTCCGTGGAAAGGACTTAACCAGTTTTCGAGCACATCCGACGCTTGTTTTGGTGCGGTGTGAGTGTCTCTGTGGAAAGGACTTAGCCAGTTTTCGAGCACATCCGATGCTTGTTTTGGTGTATGTGTGAGTGTCTCCCGGCAAGGACTTCGCCAGTTCTCAAATGGCTGAGGGACAAAAAAATCTCAGTCAGAGTGCTGCCACTACCGAACTCGGCCAAGGCAGTGTGCTACAAGAACGAACAACTGCAAAACAAGGGTCAAAATTTCACGAGGCCTGATCGTGACAGGGTGGCAGAACCATTGAAACCTGTATTTACAGTGTGGTTCCAAACAAATGACCCTGAAAAACAGGCTAATCAGGGTGAAATGCCCTGCAATCCTGAGGCCTGGTCGACACCACTTCACCAGATTTGTTCCCTTGCATCTCGGAAACTGACATCGAGTAACGATTGCAAAGCAATCCATTGCGTTACCCAATAAGCGTGTAAAAAAAAATATTTATTTTTTTTTTTGCAGAAGTTACACATTTTCAGCAGTTTTGTTGCTTTCTATTACAAAACTCACTAACCAATACACAATTACTTTCAAATCTTAACTGGCGGCTGTAGTAGGTATAGAAACACACAGATTTATCTTGTAAGGATGCAATGGAAAGTGTGTATTTATTCTAGAGATTGGGGCAATCTTCCAAACGTTTACCATCATGGCTAGGGTGTGGAAATCCTGAGATTTCTCAAAAAACTACTCTTTCGTCCAGCCATACAATTTTTGAGTTACGAAATTCGCCACCCACCACTCCCCACCACTCTCCTCACCACCCCTAATCGTCACTCCAATTCAAGGCCCAAAATTCAAGGGTGTTTTACCCTTTCTACCCTTGCTATGGGCCGCTTTTCCAGGAATGCCCTGATGTAGGACGTGTATTTACAAATTGACCCTGACTGTATATTTGTAGTTTTTGAAATACACTTGCAAAATCAGGCCACCCCGAGTTCTCCCCTGACTCGTCAGGGTACTTTTTCAAATGCACTGAAACAAACTTTCCTCGTGTGGTTTCTGTACAACAAGGCCCATGCGGCCACTAGTCCGAGATGGTTACAAAACCGGCCAGACGAGTCACTGTCGCGCTGTCACATCGACAAAGCAGACCACACCAGGAAACTTGTGATTCGCTGCCTCTACAGCATTTACATCCAGCATGGCAATGTAGCCCACACCACCATGCCACGGAGTGTCCTTGCAGACTGTGGATGGTGGGGCTTCCTTGGCCTATTCATTGCATGCGCAGCGCCACACATTCTGGAAGCGTGGTCGAAAGGCCACATCCTTAGAACGAGTGCCTTCCCTTTCATCCTCACCTTCTCCAGCCATTTCTTCTATCCCATACTCTGCTCCACTAGCTCCACCTTACCATGCCAGACGATGAATCAGGAGGAGAAGCACCTGCTTCTCCTCGCAATGGACTTTCTGTGCTCGGGGTTTTCCCCCGACTGGGCAAAGCCTATGCCACTCCTGTCCAAGAACCTCCTTGCCCCGAATCACCAGTCCATTCAGTCGGCATGGTGTATGCGTGGGAGGCACCGAACTCGCCGACTGCCTGGGAGCCACACCCGTCCGTGACATTGGTGCCTGGTGGTGACGAGGGCCCTTCAAACGGAGGCGAGAGTACTCCGTCAACGGTCAACAGCGCTCCAGCTAAGCGTGCTCGAATCGGTGGTGTGAAATACACCCAGCAGCTCCTGTGGGGTGCAAAGCCTCCACGCAAACCACTAAGTCCTCCACTTGTACCTCCGCCAGTGGAGGCTGAGGAGCTACCCCAATCGGATGCGGACACTGAGTATGCTATTATCAAGCATCGTTTTGATTCTGACTGGTCGTCTCGTTTTCCGTGGCTTCGTTTGCATCACACGAAAGCAGGCCGGCCCTCGTTGAAGTGCAACATCTGCATGCTGCATGGCGACCCCGCTGCCAACACGACGTACGGCATCAAGGGCGACAGTGGCGCGATCTTCAGCTAGGCAGCATGCGCGCCCATGTTGCGACTAGGGCGCACAAGGCCGCTTTGAAGGTGGAAGCTGAGGCTGAGGCACGTCGTGAGCGTCAACTGGCTCTCACGCGTTGGCAAGCCACGGATGCATCAACGCGTCACATAATCCGCTGTCTGCACATCGCCATGTTCATATGTAAGGCGGATGCTCCAATCGCCCTTTTTGTACCTCTCTGCTGGTTCCTTGCCAGAGAGGGACTTCCAGATCTACCGCCCACAGGTGGCTATGGCGCATACTATACGGAGTAAGTTCATGCATTCCTTCTGTTGGTAGCATGTTTTATTGCCTGTACAGTCGGCAAATACTAATACTTCCGCATCCGTCCGTCGTGTGTGCAGCTACGGTTTTAAGGAGAAGATCAGATCGATGTCGACTTACCTCCAGGACCTCCAGCTGCAGCACCTGCTGACCTCACGGTGGTTCGGGATTGGCATTGACGAGAGTACGGATCGCATCCACGGGAAGCACCTGATCATCTACGGCACATTCTTCAAGGGAACGGTGGTGGCGACCGAGTTCTTATCTCTTCTCACGGTTGAGCGGACAGACGCTGCTTCGCTCACATCTGTCGTCGTTCAGTTCCTGCAGCATACTGGTGTGGACCTGCAGAAGATGGTCGGCATCGCCACGGATGGCGCGAGCGTGATGGTCGGGGTTCACAATGGCGTGGTCGCGCGTCTCCGCGCCAAGATTCCTCACCTCGTTTCCACACATTGCATAGCGCATCGGTTCGTTTATATGATGTGCATTGTTTTACGCCTTAACCCTTTGCGTTGTTGTGTATATGCTTCACTCCATGTTTGAGCCTAATGCGTGGGCAACATGTCCCCTTGTTCACCGATCCACCCTCTGTCCTGCAGTGAAGCTCTGGCGGCGAAAGATGCTGCGACTGCCGTGAAGGAGCTCAATATTGTCGACACCATCGTGCGCGGGTTCGCCTCCCTTCTATCCAACAACAACGTCCAGCACGCGCGGTTCATGAATCTACAGTTCGTTGGTTATCTCGCGGGGAAGCCGTATCTCGTCTTCTGGAAGTGCTCCCGGCTACCATTGTTTTGATGAAAGACCAGTTGCCGACGATGTACGAAGTGGCGACGTCATTCAAGTTTCACTGGCTTCTGCGGCTCCTGGCGGACGTCCCGTTCGAGCTAAATCAGCTCAACCTTCGGTTCCAGCAACGCCAGGTTAGTATGCGCTCTGTTTATGTCACAGTCACCTCAATGCTTGGTTTCCATATGAAATATCGTTTTACCAACACGCACACTTTGATTCTGTACTGCGCGTGCATCACAGGTGGACGTGACTCTGGTGGCACACCTTGCAGAGCAGACGCGGATGCGCCTCACCCAACGCTACCTCCGTGTCCCCGAGGGACACACATTTGGTCATGGCGACAAGATGCATTTGCCTGCCTTCATTCGTGAACATGGGAAGTCGGACCCGGACAAGCGGAAGATGAAGGTGGAAGGGGTCGATAGCGGTGGGACCCCATCCTTTCATGAGTTCGTGCTCCACGAGCGACCACTGGCCGATGAAGACCCTGACGGTGAAGCAACGGCAGGTGACGCGACAACATGCTACGAGCTGTCGACCAAGTTTGTGCGGGAGGTTGTCAAGCAGCTTGAGAAGCGCCTAAGAGATCTGTCTCACCTCGATGGCTCGAAGCTGTTTCTGTCATCGAAGTACCTACAAGATGATAAAAAGCGTGTCGCAGCGTTCAAGCGCTGGCTGAAGCAGCTCCATGTGCTCTACCGCGAGTCCTTGCCAGGTTTGTGCGCTGTTGATTATGACAAATCTGTGCACACATGAGTGACACACCCTGCTGTAATAGCCTGCACACGGCCTGTTTCACATGATTTGTGCTCGTAAAGATCAACACCTCCCCCCCCCCCCCCCCCCCCCCCCCCCCCCCCTTCCCCCTCCCTACACTAATCTGCCGCTTTGTACTCCTTTGAGAATCATTCCCCCTATGCCTCAGGCTTCAACTACACGAAGGCTGTCGCTGAGCTCTGGATGTTTACATCGACCATGCATTCTCAGCACCATGACGAAGACTTCCATCAGGCGCTCAGCAACACTCTGCGCGACGACCAATGGCAGCGCTCCTACCCCAACATCATGCTCCTGTGGCAAGCAGTCGCTGTGCTGCCCCTAAGCACGGTGGAGTGCGAGAGGGGGTTTAGCAAGCAGAACATTATAAAAACGTGGGGCCGGGGGGCTATCTCAGACACATCATTGGGACACATAATGCGCTGCTCTCTCCTTGAGTACACCGTGGACTGGTTTGAGGTTGCACGCATCTTCCGTGGTGACAGAAACAGGCGGCCAATCCGAGACTTCACTGGCAGCAACCCAAGTGATACTCAGTTTAACACGGCAGCAGTCCCTGACACCACTGCAAGTGCAGACCAGCAGGAGGGACCCGAGAATGAGTGATGTGTTGTCTTGTTAGTGGTGGTTATGTCGAGTAGAGTTGCATGTAGGGAAGTTATTAGGTTGTGCCAGTAGGACTTTGAACTAGCAATCAGAATGGTTTTTTAAATACCCTTACACACACAGGGTACGGTACTGGCTAAAACACACTGACTAGCTCAGGGTAAAAAATTTCCCACACAGACGGTCAGGCAAAGGGCACTGGGGGACCCTGATATGGCAGGGTGCCCCAAAACCAATTTTGGGCCCTGCTCCAATTGTTCCTCCCTCCTCTCCTGCTCGCTTCCTCGTCAACCCCCGATCACCCCCCCAAACCCAATACCCACCACCCACTGCTGCTCCACCGGCTTTTGAGTCATCTCAAAATCTGAGAACTCTCAAACCACCACTCCCCACCACTCCTCACCACTCCTCATCATCACTCCAATTATTCCTCCCTCCTCGCCTGCTCGCCTCCTCATCCACCCCCAGAACACCCCCAAACCCAATACCCAGAAACTCCCCTATCTGCCCCACCACCCACTGCTGCTCCACAGGCTTCAGCCCGCCTCCAAAGCGGTGCTCCTTCACACCTTCCGCCAGCTGGCACACCGCCATTGGCTCGCCGTTTTGGAACTGGACAGAGGAAGAGAGGGAAGCAGGGGAAGAGGGGGCGTGGGATGGATTAGGGTTTCAATTCGTATTCTAGCATGATTGAAGAAAACATCTTGTGCCCTCAAGAGACAGGTGTATTTCGATCTTGCGCCCCTCACGCCTCCTCCCACTACTCCCCTACTAGCCCCTCCCCATTTCCCCTCCCTTCCCTTTCATACCCACCCCTTCCGCCACCACTCACCTCACCCCTCAACCACCACGGTACCGCATGAGATGTCGGCACATCTGCCCCTCTCAATGTGGCTCCAGAGGTCGCCCATGCGCCACGTGATGCTGAAGTCCCCTGCCCTCCCTTCCCTCCCAAGATGCCCACTCACCCCCTACAGCCACTCACCCAGTACCTCCACTCACCCCCTACAGCCACTCACCCAGTACCTCCACTCACCCCCTACAGCCACTCACCCAGTACCTCCACTCACCCCCTACAGCCACTCACCCAGTACCTCCACTCACCCCCTACAGCCACTCACCCAGTACCTCCACTCACCCCCTACAGCCACTCACCCAGTACCTCCACTCACCCCTTCAACCACCACTCACCCCTTCGACCACCACTCACCCCTTCAACCACCACTCACCCCTTCAACCACCACTCACCCCTTCTACCACCACTCACCCCTTCTACCACCACTCACCCCTTCTACCTCCACTCACCCCTTCAACCACCACTCACCCCTTCAACCACCACTCACCCCTTCTACCACCACTCACCCCTTCAACCACCACTCACCCCTTCTACCACCACTGCAGCGCGGGAGATGTCGGCACATCGGCCCCTCTCAGTGTGGCTCCAAAGGTCGCCCACCCGCCACGTGATGCTGAACTCCCCTCCTCCTTGGCGGTCAAACACTAGATCCACTGAGACTGCTACCGTCGACACCACCTTCTTGGCCAGACTGGGGAGGAGGGAGAGAAGCGAGGGAGGTAGAAAAGAATGTGTGGAAGAGAGAAAGAGCAGGCAACCCTCCTGCGTGCCCTCCCCCTTGACGGTCAAACACTAGATCCACTGAGACTGGTACCGTCGACACCACCTTCTAGGCCAGACTGGGGAGGAAAAAAAGAAGGTCACGGGAGGGAGGGAAAATGAGAGTGTGGAGGCCAGAAGGCGTTCGTGAATTCCCTTCACTGGCCCCCCTGGAGGTCAATCACTAGATCCACTGATACTGCCACTGTTGACACCACCTTCTTGGAAAGACTGGGGGGCAGTAAGGCAAAGGAGGACGAGAGAGAAAAGAGAAGGAGAAAAAGCGAGTGGGGGAGAAATAAAATGATACTATACCCCCGTTCTTTGAGAATTCTAAAAAATGATACTATACCCCCGTTTCCTGGAGCCATGGATGAGACAGAAGGGGATGGAGCTGACTTTTGAGTCGACTCAAAAGCAAACCCCCGTTCCCTGGGCCTTTCTCCCTGGCCGTCAATTACCAAGCCAACTCAAACTGCCACTGTGGATACTGCCTTCTTGGCCAGACTGGGGGGGTGGGACAGAAGGGAGAGAGGGAAAGCGCGAGTGTAAAAAATGGAAGACGACGGTGATTCCCCTTCCCATCCCTCCTTTGAAGAATGCCGTGAAGGGAAGAGGCGAGGAGAGGAGAATAGGAGGAGAAGAGGCGAGGAGAGGAGAATAGGAGGAGAAGAGGACACAAGGCAATGTCAATGGTGCAAGAGGCGAGAGAGGGAATAGACTGAGAGGGGATAGACTGAGAGGGGATAGACTGAGAGGGGATAGACTGAGAGGGGATAGACTGAGAGGGGATAGACTGAGAGGGGATAGACTGAGAGGGGATAGACTGAGAGGGGATAGACTGAGAGGGGATAGACTGAGAGGGGATAGACTGAGAGGGGATAGACTGAGAGGGGATAGACTGAGAGGGGATAGACTGAGAGGGGATAGACTGAGAGGGGATAGACTGAGAGGGGATAGACTGAGAAGGGACAGAAGAGAATATACAGCATTCATGCCGTACACTTGCTCTCCATGGATGAGACAGAAGGTAATGGAGCTGACTTTTGAGTCGACTCAAAAGTCAGGGGTTAGACAGAGAATATATTTGCTCTCCATGGATGAGACAGAAGGGGATGGAGAATGCCGTGACGAGAAGAGATGAGGAGAGGAGATTACGAGGTGATGTCCTTTAAGTGGTAGACGCGGAGAGTGAGAGGCAACTCACCCGCCGCCAACAAGCCAGAAGGGGATGGAGAAGGCCGTGAAGAGAAGAGGCGCGGAGAGGAAAAGGGGCGTTGGTGTGAAGAACGGGACAGGTTAGAGAGGGAGGTAAAACTCCATACACTCACTCGCCGCCGACGAGCCAGAAAGGGATGGAGAAGGCCGTGAAAAGAAGCGGCGCACCCCCTGTGAGTGCCGTGGCAGTCCAAAAAGCAATGAAGGCATTCCATGCCTGCAGAGAGGGAGGTGAGGGGATATAGAAACACATAGAGATGAGAGGAACCGTGAAGAGATGAGATCGGAGATGAGATGAGACGAGGGCATATGGACGCATGAAGAGATGAAAAAGAAGCGGCGTGCCCCCTGTGAGTGCTGTGGCGGTCCAGAAGGCAAAATAGGCAATCCATGCCTGGGGGGAGGTGTGAGAGACACAGTGTCAGAAGCAAAAGAGCCTGAGAAGTGTCAGGAGAAAAACCACTGGAATGCGAACTGCCCAAGTGAAACATCAAGATCAACTTTTCGAGTTAAGCTGTGCAACTGCAAACTGAAATGACCTTTGAGTCGACTCAAAAGTCGCTCGAGTGAAGCTGTGCAACTGTAAAATCACGATGGGAAACCCGCCTCGTGGTAAAAGAGAGTGTTTTGAGACGAAAAAAAAAAAATTATCGAGCAAACCCGCAGCCCGCTTGAGTGAAGCTGTGCTAAGTGTGAAGTTACAATGGCAAACCCGTCTGTGCCCATTGCCTCCCGTGTCAAGCCCGCAGGGGGAATGTGTACCACCAGGACTCTGGTGGAGGTAGCGGAGGAATGGAACGAAATGTCTTTGAAGTAGATTTTTTAGACGTCCCAAAACTCTACTTCAAACATGTGTTGATGGCACTTTTGAGAATTCACAAAAGAAACGTGTTTGAAGTAGATTTTTGAGACGTCCCAAAACTCTACTTCAAACATGTGCACCACCAGGACTTTGGTGGAGGTAGCGGAGGAATGAAGTTCTTGAGACGCCTCAAAAACACCCTCTCTACACGTCCCAAAACTCTGCTTCAATCAAACACGTGTACCACCGAGGTGACTTTTGAGTTGACTCAGAAGCAACTTCTACTTCAAACATGTGCACCACCAGGACTTTGGTGGAGGTAGCGGGGGAATAAATTGCAACGTGTGCTGTGCTGTGTTGTATTGTGAACTTACAATGGCGAATCCGCCTGTGCCCATTGCCTCCCGTGTCAAGCCCGCAGGGGGAATGTGTACCACCAGGACTTTGCCCTCTTCTGTCCTCTCCAGTACCTGCTCACTCACACAAGCACGCACACAGAGGCATGCACGCACACAGAGGCATGCACGCACACAGAGGCATGCACGCACAGACGCGAGAAGCCGATAGGAGAGGAAGGAGGGCGGGAGGGTTGAATGGAAAGCATAATATAAAGCAGCAGGTTGAACTCCGTTTGGTAAAGAGCTCCGTTGATTGAGCTTTTGAGAGTTCTCAAAAGTTCAAACAACGCTTTTGGTAAAGAGGAAAAGTATTGGACTGGGTGCCTTTGTCAGAACTTGAGCTTAGAATCGATACTATAGTAGTGAGCTCAAAGCTCTTTAAGTACATCCGGAATGAGCAAGGTAGGGATGAGGAGGGAATCAGGAGGCAATCCTAGGGAATCAAGGGTAATCCCAAGGCAATCTCCAATTGGTGGGTTGGAGATTGCTTGGAGATTACATTTGGGTTTGGTTGGGATGTGGGTGTACACCCAACCAAACACAAAGTGCAAACTACACTAAACTAGGATATAAAAGTACAAGTACAAAATGTGAGATTGGGGCCTAACACCAACACCCCCCCTGAGGCGTCAATCGAACTCATGGCGGAGAAGGAGGAGCGCAGAGCCCCATGGCGCCAAGGAGACGATGGTGGGGAACCTTCCCAAGGGGCTTGGTGAACAGGTCAGCCAGGTTGCAGTCAGATGCCACGTATTCCACCTTCAGCTGCTCTTGTTGCACAAGGTGACGAATGAAGAAGTGCCGAAGTTCAATATGCTTGGTGCGGGTGTGATACACAGGGTCTTGAGAGATGTGGATGGTACTCTGGTTGTCACACCAGAGGGTGGGGGCTGACTGAGGGAAGCCAAGCTCTTGGAGTAGGAAGGTGAACCAACGGGCCTCCTGAGCAGCCATGGTGCCTGCGTAGAGCTCCGCCTCACAGGAGGAGAGGGAGACTGCAGACGACCTGGTGGAGCGCCAACTGACAGTTCCGCTCCCGAGGGTGAAGCAGTACCCCTGAGAGGAGCGCCGGTCGGTCTGGTCATCAGCCCAGGAGGAGTCTGTGTAACCTTCCAGGCGAGGAGGGGAGAGCCCACCGAGTGTGAGAACGTGGGACTTTGTGCCCTTAAGATAGCGCAGCACCCGCTTTGCTGCCTTCCAATGAAGATTAGTGAAGCGACCCGGGGCCACGTAACGAGAGAGAACACTGACTGGGTAGGCCAAGTCCGGTCGGGTGCACATCATGGCGTACATGAGGGACCCAACAAGTTCCGGGTATGGCTCAGAGCAGGCCTCTGGTGTGGGTACAGCAGGAGCTGTAAGGAGGTGTTGCAGCGGCAGCGGGGTGGCAACAGGTGTGCACAGCTCCATCTCAAACCGCTTGAGCACATTGTCGATGTAGAACTCCTGGGAGAGTGAGATGGTGCGAGCCTTGCGATCACGAGTGATCTCCATTCCCAGGTAGTGCTTGAGGTCACCAAGGTCTTTCATCTGGAGGGCCTTGCTCAGGGCTGCCTGGACAGAGGTCATTTGGGCCGAGTCCTTGGCAACGAGGATAAAATCATCCACGTAGACTAGGATGTAGAATGGCTCAGAATGACGACGGATGAAGAGAGTCGGGTCAGCAGTTGAGGGGTGGAAGTCCAGGGAGAGGAGGACTTCTTTCACCTTGTTGTGCCATTCGCGAGGGGCTTGTTTAAGGCCGTAGACGGGGCGATTCAGCTTCCAGACTGTGTTGGGAGGGAATTCTCCTGGGAAGCCTTCTGGTCTGTCCATGAACACTGTCTCCTTGAGACGTCCTTGTAGGAAAGCGGAGGAGGCATCCATGGATTTGATCTCAAAGTCTTCTCGAGCTGCAACATCCATGAGCGTTCGAATGGTGGGAGGTTTGGATGTGGGGGAGAAGATTAGGTCGAAGTCGCGGTACCGCTGCTGGGTGAAGCCCTTGGCTACGTAACGCGCTTTGAACACCGGTGCCTCGTCTGGGAGCTGTTTTACACGGAACAACCACTTGCCCCCGACGATGTTGACTCCTGGAGGTGGAGTCTCGTCATCGAAAGAGTGGTTGCGAGTGAATGCTGCAATCTCCGCGTCCATGGCAGCACGCCATTCGGCAGCATGAGGGCCTGAGAGAGCCTCTTGGACGGTGAGAGGGATAGGGATGGTCGGGTTCTCCGCGAGGTTGAGGGAGGGTGAGCCAGTGATATCGGGGAAGATGTGTGAGAGCTGAGGAATGACTGCATGGAGATCACACAGCTCCTCATGCCTGTCTTCTAGAAGGGTAGAGGGCACATCCCCCCCAGCAGGAGGAGGCGGTGTGATCATTGTGTATCGAAGAACCATTGCGAGTGGAAGAGCAGCGCGATGGGAGCGGGTGCCATGAGCCACCGGTGAGGAGGGCGGGGCAGGCGGTGTCGGAGAGGGTGACTTAGGAGGCTTGGGTGGGGGAATGGGCCGCCGGCGGTACGTGATCAGCTCGGGCGACTGTGGGAGAGCGGGTTCCTCTGTGGTGGGGGGAACTGGGGGAGGAGGTGGGGCCGGAGGGTGGGACCGCCGATGGTAGGTGATAGGTGCGCTCGGAGGGGGCGGCGCAGCGGGAAGTGAGGAAGGTGAGGGGGGGGGCGGAGCAGCCGCCGAAGACACCGGTGAGGCCGGGTCAGAGACCTCAGAGGGAGATGGTGGGATGGCAGGAGAGGGAGGAGGTGAGGGGGCAGGAGCAGGCGGGAGGTCGGGAGGCGCGTCAAAGTCTGCCCACACGAGGGAGGGTGGATCAGGGAGAGGGTCCCGTCCCGAAGGGGAGTAGAATGGGCGGGTCTCATCAAAGACAACGTCGCGGCTCCTGACCAACTGTTGAGTGGAGGGATTGAGGAAGAGGTAGTCAGGTGAGTCGGCGTTGTGCCCAAGGTAGATGCACGTTTGAGTCTTGGGACCGAGCTTGCCACCGTTCTGGCGTCGAGCCTGAGGGTTGAGGAGGACATAGGCGGTGCATCCCCAAACGCGAAGAGAGCGAGCAGTGGGCGTTTTCCCGAGCCAGAGTGTGGTTGGAGTGGTGTCGGGAAGGTGCGGATGGGGGTAAAGGTTGTAGAGGAGGGCGGCGTGGTAGAGAGCGTATCCCCAGAGAGAGTGTGGAGCGTTGGAGTGGCTGAGGAGGCACCGAGTGATCTGCACTAGAGTGTGGTTGCGGCTCTCAGCTATGCCGTTCTGTTGAGGGCTGTCAGGGAGGGTGAAGTTTTGCTGGATGCCTTCGGAGGAGCAGAAGGCTTTAAGCTTGTCGTTGCAAAATTCACCCCCCCCATCCGAGTGAAGGCGCTTGACCTTGAGGTCAAAGGTGGTCTGTGCCTGCTTGACCCACGCCATGATGACCTCTGGAGCCTCAGCCTTAGTGTGGAGGAGGTGAACAGAGACGTATCGTGAGTGGTCATCCACGATAACTAGGAAGTAGCGATATCCACCTCGTGCAAGAACAGGGGCAGGGCCCCAGACGTCCATGTGCACTAGGTCCAGTGGTGCCGCTGCGATTGTGGGTGAGGCAGTGTGGGGCTGTTGGCGCAGTTTGCTCTTGGTGCAATCAAGGCACGTGGGAGCGGGTGAGTCAGGTGGTGGAGGAAGTGTGGCTGGCAGGCCGAGAAGAAGTTTCTTGGAGGCCATGTCAGCAAGCGTGCGGAAGTTTGGGTGCCCTAACCGATGATGATAGAGGATGGTCGGGTTGGAGAGGCTGCGACATGTGCATGGTGTGATGGGAGCCTGTGCTTGGGTGGTTGAAACCTGTGGGAGAGGAACGCGTAGCGTGTAGAGGCCGCTGCTATTGAGGGTGAAGCGGGCCAAGACCTTGTTGGTGAGTGGGTCAATGATGTCGCAGTGGTCCTCATTCTCCGAGAAGATGGTGCGTAGCCCTGCTTTCTGAATTTCTGTTTGAGCCACTAGATTGTGGCGTAGTGAAGGCACGCACATGCCAGTGACGGTGCCGGAAGGGAAGGCTGGGCATGGGACTGTGGAGGTGCCCTTGGCTAGGGTGATGAAGCTGGAGTCAGCTCCCAAGAGAGGGATAGGTGCTGGATAGGGTTTGAAGGAGAGTGTCTCCTTGAGCACAGTGTGAGTGGCCCCACTGTCGAGTGTGAACTCTATGTACTGTGGTGCCTGTGATGAGTCGATGTACTGGGAAGTGGCTTCATTAATCATGGCAGTGCCAGGAAACAACAGGTTGATACGCACATCAACAGGAGCACTGTCACTAGCACTAGCCGAAGAGGGGTCCTGGACCTCAACGAGATTGGCCTTACGAGCGCGCATCCAGTTTGGCGGCTTCTTGTCAACCCCGTGGATGGCATACCACTCGTCGTCTTTCTTCTTGAAGCACGTGGCAAGGGGGTGGTTAGTGCCACCACACACTTGTCCCTTGCGGTTGCCATACTTGACGACGTAGGTGCACGGAGGAAAGCGGTTGCGCTGGAAAGGCGCCGAGGCAAGGGCTGCTGCAACACTTGCTAGGGGCATGGGAGCACGGATGGCGTATGCCTTGGCCTGAGCAGTGGAGTCTTTCTCGGCAGAGAGGAGTGCGGTGGAGACCTTAGCAAAGGTGAGGTCTTCCGCTGAGAGCGTGAGGAGCATCTTCCTCGTCACTTCATATGCCGAGGAGAGACCAACAAGAAGGGCGGCTGCAGGGGCTTGTTCGGGGAAGACTATACCCAGCTCCTTGAGTTCACCATGAATGGTCTGCACCTTGGCGATGTAATCAGCCATTCCTGAGCAGTCCTCAAGGCGGACTTGAAACATGCTGGGGATGAGAATCGCCACTCCGACCGCCGTCTTGTTCATGAACCGATCCTGGAGATACTTCCAGATGGCGTTGGAGGTAGGGTAGTTGTGGAACGTGTTGACAAGTTCGGGAGGGGTGGAGGCAATGAAGACGCTGATGATGGCAGCATCGGCCTTCTCCCACTTCCGGTACTTCTCAACAGCTTCTTCGTACGTCATCACGTCAGCATCACTTGAAGATTCGGTCGGTTCACGGGGAAGAGTGGGCTGTTTCCCCTTGCCACGGTTGAGGAGGACGTCCTTGAGGTCAAGGCCCTGCACGTCACGGCTCAGGAGGTGCTTGTCAACTCCGTAGCTCCACGCCTTGAAGTTGGAGCTAGAGCCATCGGCTTCAAGGCGGAGCGGGGTGATGGGGTTCGCCATGGTGGAAGACGAGAAAGCCATGGTGGAGACCCCTTAACTTCTCGCGCGGAGCGCCGCTCTTAAGTCACCAATAGGAACTTGAGGTTTGGGGTTTCCAAAGGAGATTTTGAAGAACCGGAGGTTTAGGGTTTACGAAGGAGAATTTGACTGAGACGCCAATTTAGTGTCAACTACCTACTAGTCCTATTCCCACACACCCCCCCACACACCACCCTCAGCTTCGCGGCTACGCTGCTGCTCGGCTGCGTTGCTGCACCTGTTCAGCTGCGGGAAAGAGGGGGGATGGGGGTAGGAGTGCAGATGCGGGGCGACGGGCGGCAGCCCGAAGATGACGCTGCGGGGCGACGGGCGGCGGCCCGACGAGAAGCTGCAGGGCGACGGGCGGCAGCCCGTCGAGGAGAAGAAGTGACGAATTGATGAAAACGAGTGTTAGGTTAGAGCGCCGACGATGCGCTTACCAGAGAAGTTTCCGTCGATGGTGACGGGAAGATTTGGCGGGAGAAATTCCGCCGATGAATGTCGCGAATCAACGGCGACGAGATTGGCGATGGCTTCCCCGAGGTTTGCGGGACAAGTATCCGCAGAGATGAGAGGATCACGATCCGCGTATGCGGTTGAGCTGCTCTGATTACCATGTCAGAACTTGAGCTTAGAATCGATACTATAGTAGTGAGCTCAAAGCTCTTTAAGTACATCCGGAATGAGCAAGGTAGGGATGAGGAGGGAATCAGGAGGCAATCCTAGGGAATCAAGGGTAATCCCAAGGCAATCTCCAATTGGTGGGTTGGAGATTGCTTGGAGATTACATTTGGGTTTGGTTGGGATGTGGGTGTACACCCAACCAAACACAAAGTGCAAACTACACTAAACTAGGATATAAAAGTACAAGTACAAAATGTGAGATTGGGGCCTAACACCAACAGCCTTTTGAGGACTGGGTGCCTTTTGAGGACTGGGTGCCTTTTGAGGACTGGGTGCCTTTTGAGGACTGGGTGCCTTTTGAGGACTGGGTGCCTTTTGAGGACTGGGTGCCTTTTGAGGATTGGGTGCCTTTTGAGGACTGGGTGCCTTTTGAGGACTGGGTGCATTTTTGAGGACTGGGTGCCTTTTGAGGACTGGGTGCCTTTTGAGTACTGGGTGCCTTTTGAGGACTGGGATCAGTGGGATCGTAGATGTCGGCAGATGAAGGTGGCGGAAGCGGAGTAGGGAGAGGTGGGAGAAGGGGTGCAGGGGGGAGGAGGGGAGGGAGCACAGTGTCGGTCCAGGTGAGAGGACGTGTAGGAAGAGGGAGGGGGTCTGGTGGTGAAGAGGAGTAATAGGGGGTGGTTTCGTCAAAGACGACGTCAATGCTGCGGATAAGGCGTCCAGAGGGAGGGTGAAGGAAGAGGCAGCCAGGCGAGTCACGGTTGTGCCCGAGGTAGACACACTCGAGGGCGCGAGAAGCGAGCTTGCCGTGGGTGCGATCGGGTGGAGGGATAAGTACATATGCCTTGCAACCCCAGACACGGAGACCAGCAGCGTCAGGTTTGGTGCCTGACCAGAGTTCCATGGGGGTGGTGGTAGTATGTTGAGGATGGGAGTGAAGGTTGAGGAGGAGGGCAGCATGGAGCAGAGCATAGCCCCAAAGGGAAGGAGGGGTGGAGGCGTGAGCGAGGAGACAGCGAGCAATCTTGGTGATTTCGCGAATCCTGCTTTCTGCGACACCATTCTGCTGCAGGGAGTGGGGAAGGGTGTGAGTCTGTTGGATGCCATGGGTGGTGCAGTAGTGGGAGAGAGTGCGATTGAGGAATTCGCCTCCCCCATCAGAGTGTAGGCGGCCGACGGGACGCTTGAAGTGGGCGCGGCATTGCTCTACCCAGTTGATGATCATGGTCGGCGCCTGGTCTTTCGTGTGGAGGAGGAAAATAGAGGAGTAGCGGCTGTGGTCGTCTACTTGGACCAGCATGTAGCGATGGCCCAGACGGGAACGAGTGGGGGAGGGTCCCCAGAGGTCCATATGGACTAGGTCAATTGGAGCGGGAGCAAAGGATGGGTGGCTGTGGTGGGGAGACTGTTTGAGTTTGCCGTGGATGCAGGAGGGGCATGGAGGGGCTGGAGAGGAAGGGACGGGAGGAAGAGTGGGAGGGAGGCTGTGAAGGAGGCGAGAGGAGATGGCAGTGCGGAGAGCGGTGAAATTGGGGTGGCCGAGTCGGTGATGTAGCAGTACAGCGGGGTGGGAGAGATGATCGGAGGTGGAGGGGGTTGGAGTGAGGGAGGGTGAGAGAGGGGGAGGTGACTGCTGTTGCTGCTGTTGCGGCTGCCCCTGCTGCGGCGGCTGCAGTTGCTGCTGCTGCTGCTGCTGCTGCTGCCCATCCTGCTCCTTTTGGCCCCCCCTCCCTCCTCCCCTCCCCCATCTCCTTCTCTTCCGTCCCAACAGCAGCAACAGCAGCAGCAGCAGCAGCAGCAGCAGCAGCAGCAGCAGCAGCAGCAGCAGCAGCAGCAGCAGCAGCAGCAGCAGCAGCAGCAGCAGCAGCAGCAGCAGCAGCAGCAGCAGCAGCAGCAGCAGCAGCAGCAGCAGCAGCAGCAGCAGCAGCAGCAGCAGCAGCAGCAGCAGCAGCAGCAGCAGCAGCAGCAGCAGCAGCAGCAGCAGCAGCAGCAGCAGCAGCAGCAGCAGCAGCAGCAGCAGCAGCAGCAGCAGCAGCAGCAGCAGCAGCAGCAGCAGCAGCAGCAGCAGCAGCAGCAGCAGCAGCAGCAGCAGCAGCAGCAGCAGCAGCAGCAGCAGCAGCAGCAGCAGCAGCAGCAGCAGCAGCAGCAGCAGCAGCAGCAGCAGCAGCAGCAGCAGCAGCAGCAGCAGCAGCAGCAGCAGCAGCAGCAGCAGCAGGGGCAGCAGCAGGGGCAGCAGCATCGGGAGGAGAAGCAGCCGCAGCAGCAGCAGGGGCAGCAGCAGGGGCAGCAGCATCGGGAGGAGAAGCAGCCGCAGCAGCAGCAGGGGCAGCAGCACACCCGCTCCCTTGATCCCATCCTTGGCACACCGCCACCTCCCTCCCTCAACCAGCTCGAGGATTCCCATGAGGAGTTCGCCATGGTCCAGCGCCACACTCCCTCTCTCACCACGCTCTACCCTGGCCTCCTCGGCGCTCTAATCCTTAGCGCGATCTCCGCTCCCACCATCTTCGTCCCCTCCACCTTCGAGGAGGCTATCACCTGCCCTGACGCTGACAAGTGGATAGCCACCATCTTCCTGGAATGTGAGGCATTTATCCGCAATGACTCCTTCAAGCAGCTGCCGGGAGAAGAACCAGTCTACAAAGCCCGCTACGTTGCCAAGGGGTTCACCCAGACCTGTGCTGAAGACTACTGGTTCACATTTGCCCCCACTGTCAAGCAGGCCACCCTACGCACCCTTATGGATATTGGTGCGCGTGACGACATGGAGATTGACTCCATGGACGTCTCCAACGCGTTCCTGCAAGGCGAACTGCACGAGCGTATCTTCCTCCGCCGGCCTCCCGGGTTTCATGCTGCTTTCCCTGACAACACCGTCTGGCAACTTCGGCGACCTGTTTACGGCCTGAAACAGGCACCACGAGAATGGCATGCGAAGCTGTCTGCCACTCTCCAGTCCCTTGGTTTCTCCACCTCCCACTCCGATGCCAACCTCTTCATCCGCTCTTCCCCCCGTCGCTTCTTCATCTCGGTCTACGTTGACGACATGATCCTGCTCGCTGACACTAAGGCCAACATGGAGTAAGTAAAGCGGTCACTTCAGGAACGTCTCAAGTGCAAGGACCTTGGTCCGCTGCAGAACTACCTCGGCATGGCTATCACTCGTGATCGATCCGCCCGCACCATCACCCTCTCCCAGTCCCACTACATCGGCCAGGTCCTGGAGAAGTTCGAGATGGCGCAGGCCAAACCGGTCTCCACCCCCCTCCCCTTCGGTCACCAGCTTGCGCCACCCACCTCCCCCTCCACCTCCTCCCGGCCCTATGCCGAGCTTGTTGGGTCGCTGATGTACGCGATGATGTGCACTCGTCCCGACCTCGCCTACCCCATCAGCGTCCTTGCTTGGTTCGTCGGCTCCGGCCGCCACACTGAGGACCACTGGGCTGCCGCCAAGCGGGTCCTCCGCTATCTCCGTGGCACCAAGGATCACGCCCTCACATTGGGTGGATCCTCCCCTCCCCTTCTCTCTGGATTCAGCGACTCCTCCTGGGCAGACTCCCAGCCAGACCGCCGCTCCTCACAAGGCTATGGCTTCACGCTCGGCAGCGGGCTTATCAGCTGGCGTTCCACTCGCTCATCTGCCGTCGCCCTCTCCTCCTGCGAAGCTGAGCTCTATGCTGGCACCATGGCTGCGCAAGAGTCCCGCTGGCTACGCTTTCTTCTGGCAGAGCTTGGTGCACCCCAGCGATGTCCCACGCTCTGGTGTGACAACGCTAGCACTATCCATCTCACCCAGGACCCCGTCTTTCATGGTCGCTCCAAGCACATTGAGCTCCGTTATTTCTTCATCCGCGAACTCGTCCAACAGAACCTCATTGCCGTTCGCAAGATCGCTGCTGAAGCCAACTTGGCTGATATCTTTACCAAAGCCCTTCTTCGCCCTGCCCACTCTGCTCTTCTCCGCCTTATCGGCCTCGCTCCCCCAGGCGCGCCTTGATTCAGGGGTTGCTTCCCTCCAGCCTTTCCGCATCTTTGCAGGTTAAGGGGTTGTGTTAGAATCCCTCTCCTCTTGTAACCTGCATATAGGCTATAGGACAGGCTAGAGTTAACCACCCAAACTTGGTTTGGGTGTACAAACAGGGGTAACCCAGTTTGTAGGTTGGAACCCAACCCTGGTCCAATTATTGGACCCCAAAAGGTTGGGTTGGGTAGAATTATTGGCCCCCTCCAATAATGTTGGCCCAACCCCAACTTGGCCAACATTATTGGACCCCACCAATAATCTCCCAACCCAACTTCTTGGTTGGGGTCCAATAATGTCACCTTAGGTTAGCATCCAGCCCCATTACTATGTATACCCCCATGATTCTCAATCAAAGTCATCAACTTCATTCCTAACTCCTTCTCTCACAGAAAGGTGGCTTTTGGGTCCTTTTTCAAGGAAATAGGAGCGCTTGGGTGAAAGGGTAAACGAGGACTCTCACTCACCACTTGGGTGCCAGCAGGCCGGGTGTCAAGAGCCCCCGGGGATTGAAACGCCACAGGGAGGGTTTGCAGAGGAGCAGCAGGGGACGGCCGAGGCACGTTGGAAGGAGGATAGGAGGAGGAGGTTTTGGGCTTCCTGAAAAGTGACCCGCCCATGCCAGCAGTGCTCAGGGAGGTGGGGGAGGAGGCTGACAACTGATTTTGTTGCTGGTGGTGGTGTGGGAGGTAGCGATGGAGTGAGGATTCGTTGCAGGTCAGGGCGTTGATCACGTCTCGAGCAGTCTGTGGGGACGAAGAAGGGGGCGGGGGAAGAGGGGGAAGAGGTAAATGACTATACAGGCAAAGTCAGTGGTGGTGGGGGAGGTAGCGATGGAGTGAGGATTCGTTGCAGGTCAGGGCGTTGATCACGTCTTGAGCCGTCTGGAGGGAGGGGTATGGACGAAACGGGGAAAGGAGGGGTGGTTGGTGAGAGATTGGTTGTTGTTGGTGCGACTTTTGAGAATTCTCAAAAGTTGCTGCTGGCGTCACTTCCTGAAGAGAGACTCGCCCATGCCAGCCAGCAGTACTCAGAGAGGTGGGGGGGGGGGGGGGGGTAGGCAAATACGTGGACAGTAGCAATGCAACTGTCAATGCAAGTCAATGCAAGTCAATGCGAGTCTCACCTTGAACCTGTCCTCTGCTGCTGGCATGGGCAGACAGTCTAGCACCGTGGCTAGCCGGGAGGGGATGGATGGATGGGGAGGACCCCGAGATTGTCACTACTTGTGAGTCAACTCAAGTCAACTCAAGTCAACTCAAGTCAACACGAGTCAATGCAACCCAAGTCAACTCAAGTCACTCACCTTGAACCTGTCTTCTGCTGCTGGCATGAGCAGACAGTCCAGCACCGTGGCCAGCCGGGGGGAAATGGAAGAACCCAGAGACGACTGAAAGTCAATCTTGAGGCGAGCCTGGCAGTGGTTCAGAGGGGAAACAGAGGGGTGGAGGGAGATATGAAGGGGTAGATAGGAAGCTTGGATTACAACGGCTTTCTTGAGGCGAGCCAGGTGGTGGTCTGAAACTTGTACTTGATAGAAGTAGTGTTTTGAGACGTTGTAATTGGCGTTGGCCCGACACCTGGCTTGCCTCAAAACACTACTTCTATCAAGGTGGTTTTTGAGGCGCCTCAAAACTCAAAAAACACCATTGGCCCGACACCTGGCTGAGTTTTAAAGCGCCTAGTTGAGTTTTGAGGCGCCTTTAGTTGAGTTTTGAGGCGCGTTTAGTTGAGTTTTGAGGCGCCTTTAGTTGAGTTTTGAGGCGCCTTTAGTTGAGTTTTGAGGCGCCTTTAGTTGAGTTTTGAGGCGCCTTTAGTTGAGTTTTGAGGCGCCTTTAGTTGAGTTTTGAGGCGCCTTTAGTAGTTGAGGTTTTGAGGCGCCTTTAGTTGAGTTTTGAGGTGCCTTTAGTTGAGTTTTGAGGCGCCTTTAGTTGAGTTTTGAGGCGCCTTTAGTTGAGTTTTGAGGTGCCTTTAGTTGAGTTTTGAGGCGCCTTTAGTTGAGCTTTGAGGCGCCTTTAGTTGAGTTTTGAGGCGCCTTTAGTTGAGTTTTGAGGCGGCTTTAGTTGAGTTTTGAGGTGCCTTTAGTTGAGTTTTGAGGCGCCTTTAGTTGAGTTTTGAGGCGCCTTTAGTTGAGTTTTGAGGTGCCTTTAGTTGAGTTTTGAGGCGCCTTTAGTTGAGCTTTGAGGCGCCTTTAGTTGAGTTTTGAGGCGCCTTTAGTTGATCTTTGAGGCGCCTTTAGTTGAGTTTTGAGGCGCCTTTAGTTGAGTTTTGAGGCGACTTTAGTTGAGTTTTGAGGCGCCTTTAGTTGAGTTTTGAGGTGCCTTTGGTTGAGTTTTGAGGCGCCTTTAGTTGAGTTTCGAGGCGCCTTTAGTTGAGCTTTGAGGCGCCTTTAGTTGAGTTTTGAGGCGCCTTTAGTTGAGTTTTGAGGCGCCTTTAGTTGAGTTTTGAGGCACCTTTAGTTGAGTTTTGAGGTGCCTTTAGTTGAGTTTTGAGGCGCCTTTAGTTGAGCTTTGAGGCGCCTTTAGTTGAGTTTTGAGGAGCCTTTAGTTCAGCTTTGAGGCGCCTTTCGTTGAGTTTTGAGGCGCCTTTAGTTGAGCTTTGAGGCGCCTTTCGTTGAGTTTTGAGGCGCCTTTAGTTGAGCTTTGAGGCGCCTTTAGTTGAGTTTTGAGGTGCCTCTAGTTGAGTTTTGAGGCGCCTTTAGTTGAGCTTTGAGGCGCCTTTAGTTGAGTTTTGAGGCGCCTTTTGTTGATCTTTGAGGTGCCTTTAGTTGAGTTTTGAGGCGCCTTTAGTTGAGTTTTGAGGCGACTTTAGTTGAGTTTTGAGGCGCCTTTAGTTGAGTTTTGAGGTGCCTTTAGTTGAGTTTTGAGGCGCCTTTAGTTGAGTTTTGAGGCGCCTTTAGTTGAGCTTAGAGGCGCCTTTAGTTGAGTTTTGAGGCGCCTTTAGTTGAGTTTTGAGGCGCCTTTAGTTGAGTTTTGAGGCGCCTTTAGTTGAGTTTTGAGGTGCCTTTAGTTGAGTTTTGGGGCGCCTCAAAAACGTCCTCTATGTTGTTTAGAGTTCTCTGGCGATACATACCTGAGGTGGTTTTTGAGGCGCCTCAAAAACCTCCTCTATGTTGTTTAGAGTTCTCTGGCGATACATACCTGAGGTGGTTTTTGAGGCGCCTCAAAAACCTCCTCTATGTTGTTTAGAGTTCTCTGGCGATACATACCTGAGGTGGTATTTGAGGCGCCTCAAAAACCTCCTCTATGTTGTTTAGAGTTCTCTGGCGATACATACCTGAGGTGGTTTTTGAGGCGCCTCAAAGACCTCCTCTATGTTGTTTAGAGTTCTCTGGCGATACATACCTGAGGTAAAGCAGAGGGTGGCCGGCCGGCCGGAGAGCAGGAAGAGCAGCGTGGCTCCCATCCCAGCGAGTAGAGGTCTGATTGTGAACTCTCTCAACAGTGTTTTTTCCTGGCCTTTTGAGTCCTCAAACATCACCAGCAATACCTGGGGGAAGGCGGAAGGTGGTCGGCCGGAGAGCAGGAAAAGCAGCGTGGCTCCCATCCCAGCGAGTAGAGGTCTGATTGTGAACTCTCTCAACAGTGTTTTTTTCCTGGCCTTTTGAGTCCTCAAAAATCTCCAGCAATACCTGGGGGAAGGCGGAAGGTGGTCGGCCGGAGAGCAGGAAAAGCAGCGTGGCTCCCATCCCAGCGAGTAGAGGTCTGATTGTGAACTCTCTCAACAGTGTTTTCTTTCCTGGCCTTTTGAGTCCTCAAACATCTCCAGCAATACCTGGGGGAAGGCGGAAGGTGGTCGGCCGGAGAGCAGGAAAAGCAGCGTGGCTCCCAGCGAGTAGAGGTCTGATTGTGAACTGGCCCGATTCTGAAACTGCTCCGGTGCCATGTAGCCGTACTGGATGGAGGGGAGGGGAATAAGGTTGATGGTATACAATGAGCGAGGAGGGAAGAGGCAATTCAGCACCACGAGAGTGAACGTCAGACTGTGACTTTTGAGTCGACTCAAAAGGCAATTCAGCACCACGAGAGTGAACGTCAGACTGTGAAGCGACCCGGTTCTGAAACTGCTGTGGCGCCATGTAGCCGTACTGTATGGAGGGGACGGACGGGGAATGTTTATGGAGTAGAATGAAGAGGGAAGTGGCAAAATATCACCATGGGATTTCACTGGTTCTGAAATTTCTCCGGTGCCATGTAGCCGTACCGGGTGGTGGCAGGGAGAGTGGGGAGAGACGGGTTGTGGCATCAGAGTTGAGATAGCACAGCTTGGGATGGGAGTGAGGGTAGAGGAGCAACGTTTTTTGAGTCGACTCAAAAAGAGGAGCAACGAGTGAGTAGCGGTTAGACTGTGAGGTCGCCCTGTTCTGAAGCTGCTCTGGTGCCATGTAGTTGTACTGGTGGGGAGTGGGGAGGGGAGGATTATCACATCAAGGTTAGGATGGCACAACTTGGGAGGGGAGAGAGGGTAGGGGACCAATGAGTGAGTGAGGTCGGACTGTGAGCTTGCCTTGGTTTGAAACCGCTCTCGTGCCATGCAGCTATACTGGTCGGAAAACGGGCGTTTGGTTCAGGTAGAACCGATTCTGGTACTCTTCTTGCTCATGTTCGATACAATCTCAACTCGCTATAGTAACCACCTAAAAGTAGTCTCAACGCACCGTACCAACGACTGTGCTGCCAATAGAAGCATCACTCCTCCCTGATGCAGATGCTCCTGCTCAGTACTCACCACAATCCCAACTTGGTATAATCACTATTCGTTATAGGCTCAACGCACCGTACCAACAACTGTGCTGCCGATAGGAGCATCACTCCTTGCCGACGCAGATGCTTCCTGCACTGCCCCGAAGTCAACCACCTGAACCGTGCCGTGTGATTGGTCCAGAATTATGTTGTCAGGCTGCAAGCCAGGGAAAAGAGAGAAAATAAGGAAAAAATAAAGAAAAAAATGGTGTAGATGAAGACAAGAGCCAAGAGCAAGTGAAGGTTGATGGAGCCAGTTTTGTGTCGACTCAAAAGAAGGTTAATGAAGCTAGTGGCTGCATGCGCGCACTCAGGAAGAGCCCATGTTTGTTTGATGAAATGGAAGCAATGTTCTTCTGAGACATGGTTTGTCAAGGAATGGGAAACCTTTCGTTTTGCACTGTTTTTTTTCTGTTACATAAATGAAAAACAAAAACAATTAGGAGACACACGTGGAAAACAAAAATCAAATAAAGAACATGATACTACATGAAGTGAAGCACATGCCTTGATGTCCCGATGCACCACGGGAGGTCGAAGCGACTCCAAATAAGATAAGACTTCCAAGACCTGGTGATGGTGAATGATGGATGGTGGATGGTGCATGGTGCATGGTGCATGGTGGATGGTGCATGGTGGATGGTGCATGGTGCATGGTAGATCGTGCACATCAAATGGCATGCAACATAAAAGTGATGCCAAGGGACACACAGCGACATGAAAACGATATGTTAAGGAGGAACACAATAACGAGTCATGCACACAAAGCGACGCGCATTAATGCCAATGGCGACCTTCTGCTACGTCCCTCCCCACCATTCGCCAACCTCTCTCCATCTCTCTCCATCCCTCTCTCCCAAGGCAAGTGACACTGGACTGGACCCCCCCAGCCTTTTACTCCAGTCTCAGTTGTAGACTCAGCCTGAGGCCACAACTGAGCCTCACTTGCCTCAGTTGTGGACTCCCGTCAACACCACCCCCCTCAACCTCCTTCGCTGCCCAATGCACCACCCCAGACACCTTAGCACCAAACCTCTCCCAACCTCCTCCTCTTCCAATGCACCACCCCAGACACCTTAGCACCAAACCTCTCCCAACCTCCTCCTCTTCCAATGCACCACCCCAGACACCTTAGCACCAAACCTCTCCCAACCTCCTCCTCTTCCAATGCACCACCCCAGACACCTTAGCACCAAACCTCTCCCAACCTCCTCCTCTTCCAATGCACCACCCCAGACACCTTAGCACCAAACCTCTCCCAACCTCCTCCTCTTCCAATGCACCACCCCAGACACCTTAGCACCAAACCTCTCCCAACCTCCTCCTCTTCCAATGCACCACCCCAGACACCTTAGCACCAAACCTCTCCCAACCTCCTCCTCTTCCAATGCACCACCCCAGACACCTTAGCACCAAACCTCTCCCAGCCTCCTCCTCTTCCAATGCACCACCCCAGACACCTTAGCACCAAACCTCTCCCAACCTCCTCCTCTTCCAATGCACCACCCCAGACACCTTAGCACCAAACCTCTACCAACCTCCTCCTCTTCCAATGCACCACCCGCAGGCTCACCTGAATCGGCCCCACTCTTCCCTGAATGCCAATCCGCACCACCTCCTCCTCCGTTCCCCTCCACCCCCCGACCACTAGAGCTGCCAGCGCCTTCTCGACAGTTCTGGTAGAGAAGTGCTGGTAATTGCTAGTTCTAGGGTTGGCCAGTGCCAGCGCCTTTTCTGGCAGCGCCTTCTCGGTTCCACTCTGGGCCAACACTCTCTTGCCTCTAGACGCACCTGAGGCGCTCAATCTCTCAAAAGCAACTCCACTCTCTCTCACCTGCATACCAAGCGGCACCACCGCATCTTCAATTCCCCTCCACCCGCCCGCCACTAAAGCGGCCAGCGACTGCCCCTGTGGTAACTGTGCTAAATCGGCTCCTCAAGAAGGGAAAGGAACCCGTTGGGTCCCCTGGAACCCCCTTCTTTCAATCACCTTGATGCCAATACCAACCACCTCGTCCTCTGTCCCCCTCCACCCACGCGCCACCAAAGCTGCCAGCGACTGCCCCTGCGCCCTCTCAATTCCTCTCCGAGCTCAGCCCACACTCTCCAGCCTCGAGACATAACAATGGGCCCACCCTCTCTCTCACCTTAATACCAATCCGCACCACCTCCTCCTCGGTTCCCCTCCACCCGCCCGCCACTAGAGCAGCCAGCGACTGCCCGTGTGCCAAGCGCTGCACAAGATAAAAGGCACGGTCTGTTGCAGTGTCCTCCTGGAAGGGTGGTGGGAATGTGAGGGGTGAGGGAGTGGGAAAGTGATAAAGTGGGTATGTGGAGAGAAGGGGAGCAAAGGCTGCTTGCCAGTTACTGCCCCTGCGCCAGGCATTGCACGAGATAGAAGGCGCGGTCTGTTGCAGTGTCCTCCTGATTGGTCAGTCGAGAGATGTGATAATAGCGAGGAGGGGATTGAGTGGCAGTGCAGGGATTGAGGGGAGAGGAGGAAAGGGAGGGACCGGGGAGGGGAGCCTGTCAGTGAGTGGATTGGGGAGGGAGGGAGTGCGCCGATTCGTTGAAAACAGGGAACGAGATTCGTTGAAAACAGGGAACGAGATTCGTTGAAAACAGGGAACGAGATTCGTTGAAAACAGGGAACGAGATTCGTTGAAAACAGGGAACGAGATTCGTTGAAAACAGGGAACGAGATTCGTTGAAAACAGGGAACGAGATTCGTTGAAAACAGGGAACGAGATTCGTTGAAAACAGGGAACGAGATTCGTTGAAAACAGGGAACGAGATTCGTTGAAAACAGGGAACGAGATTCGTTGAAAACAGGGAACGAGAATCATTGGAAACAGGGAACGAGATTCGTTGAAAACAGGGAAGAGATTCGTTGGAAACAGGGAACGAGATTCGTTGAAAACAGGGAACGAGATTCGTTAGCAAGCCTAACATGGAAAGCGAATAGATCCCTTGAGAAGTGACACAAGCAATCCAAATTCCTGAAACTGCGATTCACTACGATCAGAAATACGTGACCTCCACACCTGACCTTGATAATGGTTATACACCACCATCAAGAGAACTCTGTCCATAATTTTTGCCCCTTTTTGCCCTTTCGTGTGTTCCACATCAGCTTACCTCGAAATAATCAATGTACTGCGGAATGCCGGGATGGTTGAGGCTGCGAAGCACTCTAGCTTCCCTCTCAAATAGGTCCAAATCCTGAGAAAGGGTGAAGCGGACAAGATTGAACGAAGAAAGCAGTAGCTGGGAGTGAAAAGGCAAAAAAAAGTAGAAGAATAACAAGGGTGGAAGCAAGAACCACGTTTTTGTTGAACATGTCTAGAGGGAGATTCATAAAAATAAACCGCCCGCCATCGCAACCGTCCATTCACCTGGCCAGTTTCCATCAACTCAATCAACCGCCCATTCTTGCAATCATCTCAACCGTCCATTCACCCACCTTCCACCTCGTCGCGGACCGCAACGAAATGCATTTCACCGCGACGCGTTCCCCCTCTCCTCCTTCCGCCGTCCCCCCTTCCGCCACCACTTCCGCCTCGTACAGCCTTCCGCTCGACCCCTCCCCCAGCAGGCGCACGATGCGGTACTTTCCGCCCACCACGTCCCCCGCCGCTACGCGCTCCGCGCGTTCTCCGGTTCCGTTAGAGAGCGACGCGCTAGGCGGCCGGCGCAGTAACGGGGATGAAGCCTGTCGTTGCGCGTCGCGACGCGGAGAGGGGGAAAAGGGCGAAATGGAGGAATTGCGAAAGATGCCGCTGCCGCTGCTGCTACAGTGCCGGCTGCTACTACTAATTCCACTCCTGCTGATGCTGCTACCGTCACTCTTGCTAATGCGGCTCGAATTCCCGAAACTTCCCGGAATTGCCGTGCTTGCGGTCCTAAAGGAACGCGCGCATTGCGCAGAGGAGATGGTGGCACGCGCGGCGGAGGAGTTAGCGGCGGTGGGGCGGAGGCGGAGGAGAGTGCAGGCGCGGGCGGACATCGTGCAGGGGAGAGGCGGAACGCGGGTCTGGGTTCCGCGAAGGAGCCGCGTGTGAGAAACAAAGCAGAATCTCTCAGGAGAAATACCAGGTCGAGAATCCAAGCAGATATTTCATGAATATAGTGGATGGGGGAAATTGTGCGGGCTGTGAATTTGAGTTGACCAGATGGCTTTCCCCCTTGAGATTCTCCCTAGTCCCGACCAATTGCCCTTCTGACAAAATTGGCACGTCACGTTCGATTGCGCCACGCGGCAAAATCGACAGGGGCGGAAACTCTCGACTCCGCGCACACGCAAGCTTTGTGGTGATTCGTGCTTCGTCTGTAGTGTTGCGATTGTAGCGGTAGATTATGGACGACGTTGCGGTCAGAGTCTCCTGAAATATATCAATTTTATAACCATATGAAAGGTCTATATTGCATATTCAAGCTACCAGTAATTCCACAGTTACTCTTACCACTACATTCTGATAGTCGCATTGTACTGAGAGAATAGCTACATATCCTGATTACAAAATTCCAAAGCAGCTGTGTTAATGTTCCCCTAACAATCGATTAAAAAATGCGACATACTAATTTCAACTAGCAACGAATGGCGCCCGCTTTTGGATTGGCGTCGCGCCAATGCCGCCTCGAATAGACGATTCGCCACTGCTGCTGTCAGCCGTCGATGTGATTGGTCATTGCTGCTGCCAACCGTTGTTGCTGTCAGCAAATGCTGGCTGGCCATCAATGTCGTCGTTAGCTTTTGATGGAAACACGGCAAGCGCCGTCTCACTGGATTGTCGTACATAACACGCAGTTACACCAGCACTGTCACAGCATGCCCTGCTGTGACTCCATGCGCTAAAACTCACTCCACCAATCACCTCCTGCCTAGGCTGCTGTCGCACACTGCTGCTAACACGTGTTACCATGTTGCCACGGATGTTACCACACATGTTACAAGGACCATTAGTGTCGGTTTTTTACCACACATCACACCACCACTCTCAGCATGCCCGGCTGTGTCTCCATGAACTGCGCTCGCTCCTCCACCAGATGCCGTTGCTATGTGTTACCACACGTTACTACTGTTACCATGTTACCACACATCACACAGCACCCGTAGCATGCCAGGCTGTGTCCCCATTAACTGCACTCGCCCCTCCTCCACCATATACCACTCTACTGCCCAGCCTGCTCTTGCACACTGCTGCTGTCACATGTGTTACCATGTTACCACAGGGCACTCTCAGCAGTCTCAGCTGCCCATCACACCACCACTCTCATCCCAGCATACCGGGCTGGGCCTCCATGAACTGCACTCACTCCTCCTCCACCGTACGTGTTACCATGTTACCACATGTTGCACCACCACTCTAAGCATGCCGGGCTGTGTTTCCACCACTCTCACTCCTCCACCAAATACCGCTCCACTGACTACCCTGCTTCCGCACACTGCTGCTGTTATACCCTCTACCACACGTTACACTGTTACCACATGTTACACCACCACCCTCAGCATGCCGGGCTGTGTTTCCATGAACTGCACTCGCCCTTCCTCCACCAAATACACCTCCACTGACTAGCCTGCTGCCACAGACTGCTGCTGCCACGCGCATTACCATGTTACCACGCATGGTTACAATGTTACCGCAAGTTACACCACCACTCGCAGCATGCCGGGCTGGGTTTCCATGAACTGAACCCGCTCCTCCTCCACAAGATACCGCTCCACTGCCAGTGGCAGGCGCGGGGGCGCTCGCCCCTTGGTGTGGTGGCCCGTGCCCACACACACGTACACCTGCGGGTGAGTCGGGGGTTGACAAATAAGAGCTTAGGGTAGACACGTGGATGGTGGAGTGGGGTTGGTACTCTGCGAGGCGCGGGGGCACGCAGCCCTTGGTGTGGTCATTTGGTGTGCCACAACCCTAAACCCTAAACCCTACGCACACGTACACCTGCGCTGCGGGTCATTTGGGATAAAGGAACAGGAGATAGGGATGGTGGAGAGGGATAGTATTGGGACGGCCTAAGAGCCGGGCTTGGTGTGGTGGCCCATCCCCATACACCTGCTGTGCAAATCGGGGGTGAATGTCACAATCTTCAGACATGGCAGATCGATCTGATTCACCTTTGCATGCACAGATACACCTGAATCAGGGCCTGGTCTGGGAGATGACCGGAAATATGTGACCCAAAGAATGGAAATGCAAATCAGGAGCCAAATCTGAAACAATCCTGTTCACCCTAACCCCCTTGCCTGCTCACCTGCTGTCGCTGCTGCGTGGAGCGAGCAGCACTCCTCATAGCGGCTATCTCCCGCTTCAGCATGGGTATCGCCTCCCCCACATGCAGCCCGTGCAGGAGGCGCAAGTACCAGACCAGGCCCAAAACCCATACCAGGCACAACAACCGTACCAGGCCCAACACGCATATAAGGCTCAAAAGGCACACCAGTCCCGTGATTGAAGAAGGGTTTTGAGACGTCTCAAAACCCTTCTTCAATCATAAGGCTCAAAAGGCACACCAGTCCCCTGCCATTCTCTCTCACCTGATGTCGCTGCTGGGTGGAACGAGCAGCACTCCGCATGGCGGCTATCTCCCTCTTCAGCATGGTTATCGCCTCCCCCACATGCAGCCCATGCAGGTCCAACACCCGCCAATAAACTTCTTCCCCCACCCCCTCTTCCGCTCACCTGCTGTCGCTGCTGGGTGGAGCGAGCAGCGCTTCTCATTGCGGCTATCTCCCTTTTCAGCATGGGTATCGCCTCCCCCACATGCAGCCCGTGCAGGTCCAACACCCTTGCCTCTCCTCCCTCGCCAGCCACTCCACCCAGATAGCCCGACGCCGCATTGCTGGGAAAAGGGCAGAGCGTGTGGGGGGGTTGAGAAACAAGGGAAATATGGGGGGGTAAGCATGCAGCCCACGGAGGTTCTTCAACACCTGCGCCTCTTCCTCTTCGCCTGCCCCTCCACCCAGTATCAATAGTACGATCCATTAATGTCCATTTTCACTGTTACTTTGCTGGGCCTACCAAGTTCTGAAGATGGCATCGCTGGCATTGGCGTGAGCTGCCTTCATCTGCTCGTTGTGCCACTGCCCCCGAGCGCTCAGCCAAGTCAGCTCCTTGGCTGCTGTGCTTCTGCCTCATGCCCTCTCATACTCCTCTTTGCAAGCAAGCAAGCATGCAACCAACGGCAGAAGCAATAACAACAACAGCAGCAGCAGGATCCATACCGGGTTCGGAAAATGGCATCGCTGGCCTTGGCATGGGCTGCCTTCATCTGCTCGTTGTGCCACTGACCCCGCGCGCTCAGCTCCTTGGCTGCTGCCTTGTTGCCCGCCAGGTACGCTTGCGTGGCCTGCACGGAGGAAAGGAGCAAGATAGCAAAGAAAGAGGCTTTGAGATCGAAAGAGGCTTTGAGAAAGAAAGAGGCTTTGAGATCGAAAGAGGCTTTGAGATCGAAAGAGGCTTTGAGAAAGAAAGAGGCTTTGAGATCGAAAGAGGCTTTGAGATCGAAAGAGGCTTTGAGATCGAAAGAGGCTTTGAGAAAGAAAGAGGCTTTGAGATCGAAAGAGGCTTTGAGATCGAAAGAGGCTTTGAGATCGAAAGAGGCTTTGAGATCGAAAGAGGCTTTGAGATCGAAAGAGGCTTTGAGATCGAAAGAGGCTTTGAGAAAGAAAGAGGCTTTGAGAAAGAATGCAGACGGAATGACTAGGTGCTTCCTTGTTGCCCACTACACATGTTTGCATGGACTGCAGGTGGGGAATGAAGTAGAAAGAGAAAACACGAAAGCCAACAGAATCAGTGTACGAAGGAGGGGAAGAAGTGGCACTGACCTGCTCGAAGCACGCATTTCGTATTCTTGCATGGTCCCGCGCCTCTTCCCTCATGTCTCCGTATAGGTTAGCTGCATGAGAGGATACGATAAGTGGAAATGGAAAATAGTTTGGAGAATGCTAATTAAATGGTCCCAAGCCTCCTCCATGTCTCCATACAAGTTGGCTACATGGGGGGAAACTTTGAATGGACATGCGTAACAGATTTGAGAATGCTCAATACGGTGTCTCCCAGACTTCCTCCCCCATGTCTCCATACAGGTTCGCTGCATGGGGAGAAAACGGTAAGCGCACGAAGATGGGTTATGAGGTGACAATAGATATCCTCCTGCAACAACATGCCACATGTCTGACTGAAAGTGCACCAGATCACAACTCACCGACAGCGTTGCCAGTTTCCAGCCATGGCTGTGCTCCTCCTCTTCCTGAAAACTCGTACCCCCCCCCTCCCCCTCCTCCTCCTCCCCCTCCCCCTCCCCCTCCCCCTCTTCGCCCTGCTCCGCCCATACCCCCCTCCCCTCCCCCGCTTCTCTCCGCCTGCCCGCCCCCCCACGCGTTCTGAGTCGCTGCCCCCGGGGGTAACGGCTTTCGCAGCACCCCGGCGAAATCAGGAACAGAGCCTTGCATGGGGCGAGTGTCAGGGCCTTGAGAGGAGGGGCGCGGGCGGAGCATGGGGGAGGAGGAGGCGGGGAGGGGGTCTAGGGGGGAGAGAGAGGGGAAGTCGAGAGAGTCGAGGGAAGGGGGGTGCGCTGAGGGGGGTGGGGGACGGCGGTGGGTTGGTGATGGGAGAGTCATTTCGTCCTGAAGCTGTGAAGGTAAGAATAAAGTAGGGGAAAAGGAAGAAGGAATAAGGAGGGGGATGGGGGGTGGGGGTGGAGGCGGTGGCGGTGGGCGCAAAGAGAGGGGTTTGCGCAATGTGACGTTTGGTGTGGTTACATGTATTCAGGATGAGAGCTGGCGAAGGTAAAACATATGTCAAGAAACGTCACACGCCCCAATTACAGTGCACCGCAGCATCATATACACCCCAACCGCATAGATTCCAGCTAAACCAGATTGAACCCATGCCAACCGCAAAGCACACCTGCAGCTGGGTCAGGATCTCCATGGTCCGAGGAAGGTCTGCGCCATTAGAGAAGAAGATCTCTGCCAGGGTGCTTATACTGAACATGGGGAACTCTGTAGCGAGTATGCGCACAGGATCGTGCCGATCGTCTCCGCCCACCCCTTCTTCCGGTCCCCCCCATCCAACTGGCATCGACATCGCTCTTTCTCTCACTCCCCCACCTTCCCCCCCCCACATGCCGTCTCCTCCCCCTGGTCCCCCCATTCCCCCGCCTCCCCCCATCCCTCCCCCCATCCCTCCCCCCATTCCTCCCCCCATGTCCCCTCCCCCTGCCGGACCGGGGAGTTCAAACGGTGGGGGGTGCATGGCTCTCGGGTCAGCATTCGGGGGAGGGGGATAACCCCTAGCGGGGCTGTTGAAGGGGTGATGGTGTGGGGGAGGGGGAGAGGCAGCACCAGGCAACGGCATAGACATGGATGTTACAGGGTTACCACCAAATCGGGAGAGAGGGCCTCCGGGGGAGGCATAGGGAGGAGGACCCCTGGCAGGGCTCTGCTGCGGACTCATGTGGTTAGATTTAGGGTTAACCCCGCCGTATGGGGGGTATCTGTTGGGTGTGCCCATGGGAGAATGGGGTACTCCTCCGCGGCCAATCACAGGGCTGGAAGGGACGGGACCAACAGAGCCCGGTGGTCCGCCAGGTGGGGGCCCAGGTGAAAACCCAGGTGGGCCTGGAGCAGGTCTCCAGGCAGGGCTGGGGGCGTTTCGAGGAAGCAGGTGTGAGGGAGGAGGACCGTGATAGGGAGCGGAAGGATCATAGGAAGGCTCGAAAGGCCTGTCAAGGGAAGCTTCGTAGGAAGGTCCCTGAGCTGGGGAGCCCATGAGAGGGCCACCAGGTGAGCGATGCGGCATGTGGTGGTGCTGGCCAGGTCCGGAGAGACCGAGAGCGGTGCGATGTGGTGCAATGTGGTCTAGAGCCGAGTCTGACTTAACCTCCTCGAGAATATTCCCCATGGATTGAGCTGCAGGGGGGCCACCAGCGGGGCCTACACCCTGCCGAAACGAGTACCCATACCCCTGCCTGTCAAAACTGTCTGGGCCACCAGAAGGAGCAGCACCACCAGCACCCCCAGCAGCAGCCGAACTGGACATGTGACCGCTATCTAGAGACGGCATGCTAGCTGCATGACGATGCAGGCTATTTCCACCTACCCCACCAGTATCCATCTCCATTCCCATCCCTCTCTGCAAAAACCCATCCCTCCCATCCCGCCCCGCCCCTCTCCCTTTCGGCGACTCATCGAAGCTCAGAAGCTCATCTGGCAGCCGGTCACGCCAGAAGCGGCGGTACTCGTCATCAGAGGCGTTGCTGTTGTGCGACTGTGACCGGCTCAACAGCTCCTCCTCGCACTCCTCAAACGTTTCATCTGCTGCTGCGCCATTATACCCTGCTAAACCGACGCTTGTCCCGCCGTACCCTGCTGCACTGCTCCCTGTCCCGTACCCGGGTTGCAGTGAGGACGCGTACCCCCCTGCTCCTCCTCCGCCCGCTGCTGCTGCTAGTCCCTGTGGTTCTGATTGTGATGCAGCGGTGGGATTGCTGGCGTGGGAAGGAGGGCCGAAGACAGGAACGAACTCTGCAGCGTGCGGGTTGAGGCTCATGCCGCTCAGGTCTAGGGATCTCCGCACAGTGGAGGCGGCTGAGGAGGGCCCGGGAGAGGAGGAGGAGAGTGAAAGGCGTCTGGTTCCTGCTACAGATGATGCTACAGTTGATGCTACAGTTGATGCTACAGCTGGAGATTGAGCTGAGCCTACATTTGATCCTACAGTTGTTCCTATGTTAGATGTTACAGGCGCTCCCTCAGTCGACGCTACAGCTCCTCCTGTGGAAGCTTCTTGAGTGTGTGAGACGGTGGGAGATGATACAGGATCGAACCTGGTTTGGTAGAAGAGAAGGGCGCAACAACCAGCAGCAGCACAGTCAAGGCACGTGCAGAACAGCAAAGGATGACAGCAAGAGTGACAAAGGAAAACGGGTACGAGGGGAGGAAGAGATAATTCAGTTCAAAAACTGTTGCATACGTTGGAAAGCTAGAGCTTGTGTGGGAACAGTGGACAATGACACGAATATTGCAAAGAAGGGAAAGAGCATGTTGACAAGTTGACAACCAGCCAACCGCCACACACTACTTACTGTTTCACATCAAACTTACTGTGTAGCAACCCCTTCTCGATCGTGCGTTGCTCTGCCCTGATTAGCAAGGCCAGAGCCTAACGGAGATGCCTGTAGTGAAGCGCTCTGTAACGGAGATGCCGGGGATGCCTGCGCCTGCTCAGTCATCTTGAGCTTCTGCACCTGATGCAGCAGACCGTCCATGCTGTGCTCTGTGCCTCGCTGCATGCATGAAGAGACACAGGGCAGCAGAGAAACACACACATAAGCGTGAATTGAGTAGTATTGAAACACTCTGTAGTGGGTACGCCTGGGCTGGCGGCGCCTCGGTCATCTTGAGCTTCTGCACCTGATGCAGCAGACCATCCATGCTGTGCTCTGTGCCTCGCTGCAACATGGGCATGGGCATGGGAGGACACACACAAGGCAGCAGACACACGCACAGGCGTGAGTTGCAACAAAGCCCTCCCATGCCCATGCCCATGGTGCAATGAAGCACTCTGTAACAGGACGCCTGGGCCCTGGGCCTTAGGCCTGCCTCTCCAACATCTTCAGCTTCTGCACCTGATGCAGCAAACCGACTTTGCTGTGCTCTGTTCCTCGGTGCACGCATGCAGACACACAGGGCAGCAGACACACACACACACATAAGCGTGAATTGAGTAGTAATGAAGCACTCTGTAGTGGGTACGCCTGGGGCTGGCGGCGCCTGCTCGGTCATCTTGAGCTTCTGCACCTGATGCAGCAGACCATCCATGCTGTGCTCTGTGCCTCGCTGCATGCATGCATGCATGCATGCGCCATGGGGCAAAAGAAACAGTAGCAGGCAAACAAGCACGGACTTCACAATAAATAGCAGAAAAAAGAGACGCCTTACAACCATGTTGCACACATGATGACAGGGTGAAACGGACAGACAGAAATGTTCCGCAGCAAGGCAAGAATGCAAGCAAAATTTGAAACAATGGTAAAGCAGAACACGATGTGGATGAGGCAGAAAAGCTAATGTGTTCACAGGGAAAGGAAAACAACTAGCGAAGAAAGAAAGCAAAGTATGACATACAAACAGGCTGGGCACGTCACAATAGTAGGAAGAAGGGGAAAGGATGGGTGGAGGGGGGTTGAGGATGGAGGAGAGGAGGAAGGGGGAGGATGGGGAGAGGGATTACTGACAGCAGGGGAGAGTCCGTGGGAGTCTACAGTTGTCTTGCGCTTTCGGCTGCTGGCAGGAGGCGCTGACTGGCTGGTGGATAGGCTGTAGCATGGGGAGAGTTCGAAGGAGAAGGAGATATGCAAAAGAAAAACATAGGTACGCAGTGCAAGTGAATATTGAAATGTTTCACACGGCTAGCTATGCATGTCTCATGGCACATGACGCATGACATGGCATGCGTTGCTCACTGCTGCCGAGGCGCGAGATACATGACATGGCATGGTACACTGCTCATCCGTGTCTCACTGGGTCATGATACATGCATGGCACGCATGGCATGGCACGGCATGGCATCGTATGGCATTGCTCACTGGCCGAGGTATGAGACGTAGTCATCCGTGTCGCAGCAGGGCGCGTCGAGAAAGTCGGACACCAGCCGCTTGACAGCGAGGTTGGCTCGTGGCGCATGGCATGTCATGGCTCACTGCCTCGAGACGCACGGCATGGCATGACACGCGATGCATGGCATGGAAAAGCATGGCTTACTGGCCGAGGTAAGAGACGTAGTCATCCGTGTCGCAGCAGGGCGCGTCGAGAAAGTCCGACACCAGCCGCTTCACAGCGAGGTTGGCGAGCTTGCGGTCAGCAGCTCGAGGCATCAGCGAGCCACACAAGCGAGCGGATTGGTAACACCGTAACACTGTCAGAAAACCCTATTTGCTGTTGGGCCAATATGAAGCTTGGTACAGAAGAGAGGAAGGAAAAGAGAAAAAGGCAAGATAAACGGAACCGCGATCAGATAAGTTAAACAATGAGGAGATCCCAATGTGAGGTGACTTGGATTGAAATGTACGTTGATTTTATACGCTGATGCCAGTTTAGATTCGCGCGTGATCGCGAAGGATTTGGAATTGCATCATCAGGCTGCTGAGGGACCGACGAAGGGGAATTCAAGAGGCTCAACAATGACCGGGAGGGGACTTGTGACAGAGTGAAACGAGAGAAGCGCACGAACGGCTCACGACGAAAGCATGGTGATTATGAGGGAGAGGCTGAATTCTGAGTCTGCTCAAAAGAGGTGGCCGAGGAGGGGAAGGCAACAGGGGACTCATAAAGTCACTGGGTGAGGGCTGTAGGAGAGGAAGGAGACGCTTTAATTAGCGTTCCTGGTAACGAAAACTGACGGGTGGAGATAACGGAATTTAGGAGAATAATTGCTTACTCTGCAGAAGGAAAAGCTGGGAAAAGGCTGGCCTTCAGAGTGCTGAAATCAGTCAATAAAAGTAAGAATGGCTTATGCGAATCCAAGGTATGAAGTTAGAGAACCGCAGAACTAGCCTAAACTGGTAGATCGCCACGCAAATTCGCGGAAGCACTTCCTGACAATTTGACCTACCAACTATTGTGCTTAGCTCATAAAAGCTTATGGCTGGCCATGGTGAAGCTCGACCATGCAAAGCAGTCCCAGCATGGCAGTTGGGAGCAGCAACTCCCAAGACAACTTCGGGGCTAACTTAGCCAAAAAAAAACAAGAGGCGAAGAAATCGTCTTAGGGTTGCGAAGCATTTTACATAACGATATGTACACAAATTTTTACATTTTACATAACGACATGTACACAATTTTCTACAAGTGCGAATACTTTAATAAAAACCTGTGGTAATTGACATATATAGCAAGACTCGAATAAGCAGCTTCAGCAGGATTCAAACCTACCTCCTTCATACCCAACGCCTTTTCCCTACCGACTGCACTAGCGCTACTGCACAGAAAAGCAACATGACTTTATAAGCTACATGACATAACGACGAATCTGACACTTTGTTAGGTTGTCTCTTCCTTTCATTCTCCCTCCCTTCCGCTCGCTGGTTTAGCTCCCCGCTACTCACGCCCCACCTACCCGTTCCTACTAAGGTGAGAACAACTCTACCTTACCGTTTCAAGTAGAATTAAGTTACCTGATTTCTAGCGAGACTAGCATGCGTTAATCTCGTACCATAGTTGTTTACTCTTGTGTTGGCCGCGTTTTAAAAAAATAGTTTGATTAAGCCTATGTTCTAGGTTCTAGGTATTCGTTTTCTCTTTCTCTTTTCTTCTCGCCAGTGGAGCTTGTTCTTTTGCCTCACGCTACTTACGCTCCACCTACCACTCCAAGGTCAGAAAGTTTAAGATGTCATTTAGAGTTGTTAGCTCATGGTAAGATGTAAGCTCTTATTGTCGTCATTTACTTCCTATTCTTAGTTAGCCCTCCCTTTCCTTCTTCCTCTCGTTCTGCTGACGGGCTACGGGACTTCCGCTAGGTAAGCTCCTAACTTGCAACTTAAACGCGTTCGATACTTGTTAGGTCGACTTAATTCTAACACAGGACGGCTTAGATCTAAACTAGGTCGGCTTAGATCTTGTTTTTACACATGTTTTTTTTCGAAATCGTAGAAATCGTAATTTATTGAACACTCTCTCTATCTCTCGTTCGTTCTCGCTCGTTCTCTCTCTCGTTCTCTCTCTCTCGTCCTCGTTCTCTCGTTCTCTCTCTCTCGTTCTCGTTTTCTCTCTCGTTCTCTCCCTCTCTCTCATTCTCTCTCTCTCTCTCTCTCTCTCTCTCTCTCTCTCTCTCTCTCTCTCTCTCTCTCTCTCTCTCTCTCTCTCTCTCTCTCTCTCTCTCTCTCTCTCGTCCTCTCTCTCGTCCCCTCTCTCTCGTCCCCTCTCTCTAGTCCTCTCTCGCTCCTGCTCTCGCTCTCGCTCTTCGTTGTTCTCGCTCTCTGTATTCGTTATATTCTCTTCTTTCGTTTACTGTCTCGGTATTTTGTTCCTCTATTCCCGTTCCTTATTTTCGTTTTATGCCTCGTTAGATTCTTCTCCATGCTCTTTGTCAAGTCTAACCATTCAATGCTCACGGCGTTTTTCTTAGCCCTTGTATTGATTCATTTGTTTCTTCGTTATTCCTGTTTCTCTTCATTTCATCACACCTTATGCCTTTTTTCTGTTTTTTTTGTTGTACTGGCTATTCATTTCCGTTCCTCCTTTCCACTTCCTAAACCCGTTTGTCAGGGGCCTTTCCGGTCAGGAACGCGATTTCAATCCAGAAAATGTGTATTGGTCACTAGGATTTATCGTATTGTCCTTTTAACATTGATTTACTTGTTATGTAGTTCGCGTGTATCTCGTGTTTTTTGGCTGGGTTTGCCGGAGCTCGTGTTTTTTATTGTGTGAATGTGTTTGTTCGTGTGAGTGCATTCATCTCATCTGTCATTGCAATATCAATGCATGTCTGTCAATTTTAAAAAGGGGGTTCATTTCTATCATTTCTAATTGGTTCATTGGCGCACTCAGTGACTCGTGTGTTTGCCACTTCGAACTGGATTTGATAGAGTGAACCTCTTTTTTAGAGTTAACAGATTGTATTTTTTCATGTGCTAGTTGATTATTCAAAGATTTTGCTATTGACCTCCCCCCCATGCTAGGCAGGGGATGGCGATAGCTTAGTTTTTGGGTTGTTAACTGTCACGCATTTTATCATGTGCATGTGCATCATTCATCACATATCACATGCATTATATACATCATTCTATGCATTATGCATTGTATAGCATCATTTATGCATTACGCATGCACCTCTTCATCATTACACAACATCATCTAACAGTAACATATAATGCAAACAGTACAGCACATCTCCACTAAACAATTGCAAAATGTTCATATGGAATAATGCACTATGAACAGTACCGTATTCAAAACTGCTCAACATGCATACAGTTTGGGAAGGGTAGTGCTGTAGTTGACAAAATTTATTTTCATGATTTTTTTAAAAAATATAAACATGAAAATAAAATTTGGCAAAATCGATCGTAAAGGGTTGCTTCGCAACCCAAAAAAAAAAAAAAAAAAACTCCCAAGACAAGAGGCCTGCTGCCTTTCCGCTAAAAAGCAGCCCCGTAGCGAATTACATACTAAAGTTTTCACTAACAATGTAGTACACGATAAACTTTCCAGAAACATGTAAAGCATTGTAAGGTGTGTGTACGTAATTATTCGTATCAAGTTTGGACTCATAGATATCTAATTTGATCATCCAATGTCTCAATATAGGACATAATGCATCATAATCTCGATATAATATATTTCCTTCAATACGTAATCAAAACTGATCCATGAAGCAATAGTTAAATATTATTTTATATTCATATTGTTATATAAAAATTCTTAAATGTATATTTATGTATTGGTAATATATACTAATATGCCCGGGTAATACTAAATAATCAACTACCATATTCTCGTATCAAATAGCTTAATTCACTGTGGTACGGAATGGAGCAGCTCTTATTGCCGTTAATTCATCCGAGTTCCCGCCAAAAGGGAGCCTGCTCCACCTCGAGATTACTGCCGCACCGCCTTATCAATTCACAGCATCGCCGCTCCATTACACCAACCGCCATTACAACCATCAGTCATCTCGTCGCTTTCTCACCTTTGCCTCCTAGCCAAGTCTTGCTTTCTCCTAACCAAGCACCTCGTCAGGTCAGCTCCAAGTCCAAGCGTCACCATGGCGCCGTTCCGATGCGTAAGCGCGCGGTCACCGCCGCGCGCAACGCTTCCGCACAGTCGAAGCGCGGTATGTCGTTCGAGCTTGCCTCCTAGCGGTACACAATGCGACAGACGACAGATGGCAGGTCGCCCCCACGTTCCGCTCCGTGAATCACGGACAACGCCGCTCGTGCGGCGAATAGTTCAAATGCTTTGAATTTCTAACGACGCGAGAAAATAGTCCACCTGGGTCACAATACCTCATTATTCGCCAGCTTTTCCATATCAGAAGCTGCGAAGGCGAAAGTGACGTCGCGCAGCTGGTCGCACAGGTCGCCGCAGAGATCATCGCATAGGTCGTCGTGCAGTTTGATGAGGTAGAGAATTGATCATCCGTTTTTTCAGGCGCCTCAAAGCTCAATGAAGTAGAGTATTGATCATACGCGTCACCGCCGCCGAGTTTCGAGATTTCTTGTGAGTTCGGAGACTTCTTGTGTTCTAAGAATCCTCGGGACTTCTCATTTTGAGACGTCTCAAAACTACTCTTTTTACACGTGTTTTGTGAGTTAGGAGACTTCTTGTGATCGCTGAATCCTGGGGACTTCTCATTAACTGTCGTGCAGTGAGATTCAACGATCGGTCGCGCCGTCTTAAGTGTCATCGGCCTCTCGAGGCCGCAGTGCCACTGCTAACGCCACCGCGACCATCATTACCACCAGCATTATTTAGAAACGGCGCACCTACTGCAGTCAATTCACAAGCAACAGAGGGAGCAATCGAGAATGAGATTAGGAATTCTGAAGGGGATACGGCCGTCCACGGACTCCATGATGGCACGATCAACGGTTAGGATGCCACGAACGGCGCCGCTCCCATCATCACCATCGATTGCATCATCATCGCCGTCGCCAAAGTCACCCCCGTGCGACTTTAGTCGTCTAGAGGAATTCCAATTTCACTTGGCGGATTTTGGCAGATGGGAACACCAAGAAACGCCTGGTTTGGTGCGGCATGAGAAATCTGATGAGACTTTTGGGAGGAGCGAAGAAGAGGTGATTGGTACACTCTGCATGGAAACTACAGAGATTGTTGCTGAGATGAACGTGGGGGGATTTGTGAAAAGGAATCTGGAGGTTGTTGAGTCCAGTCAGAAGTATGGAGGTGTTGTTGAGAGGGATGAGGAGCAGATGGGCAAGAGACGCGTGAGAAATGGGAAGGAACGGAGAAAAACGAACAGCAGTGACGTCACGCGCGGCGCTATAACAGGAGGAACCCTCGCCTTTGTCACCCTGCTGCTGATGTCAGTCACGTCGACATTAGCGCAGGCATCACCTGCACCAGCACCGCCTTCCCCTGCAACACCCCTCAAGTCCTTATCATCAGCAGCAGCACCGCACTTCCTTGTCTCATCACCAGCACCACCACCACCCACCCCTGCATCTTCAACAGCAGCAGCAGCAGAAGCGGCAGCAGAAGCAGAAGCGATAGCAGACTCTTCCGCTGCAGCTCACATTTCGTCAGTCCCAATTGGTGCGGGCAGTGGTCCTGATGCTGCTGTTGGTGATGCTGTGAGAAGCGATGTCATGGCAAGTGGTGCCACCCTTCTTGCTGGTGAGTTTTTGGGAAGCATAGGAGGAGGAGAGAGGGGGAAGTACTCGAGGGTGATGGGGGAAGGGAGGGGAGAAAAAGGGTCAGGAGAGAGGGTCAAGAGGAGGGGTAATCTCGTCTTTGGGTTTCCTTACGAGAGGGCCACAGCAGGAGGGAAAGGAAGCTTGCTGTATTCTTTGACTCAGTGCTGTTTCTCACACGTTATCTTGGCTCTGATTGTCCCCATTCACTCCCCTTTCTACCCTCGTCCCTCCCACAGCCAACCAGTCAGACACCATCCCCGACCCGATAATCCGCCCGCCCCCGACCAGCCCCTTCTCGCTCTCCCCCCTGCCGCCTCCCATCCGCGGACCCATCGTCCCCGCACCCCCCGCCCCGTGCTTCGGGGTCACGGTGGCCTATGTGATAGAGAGTATCATCAACATCCCGTCTGTGTGGAATGGGAGTGTGAAGCCGTATGGGTTCAAATCCAAGATCGAGCTACTCAACACTGGCAAGAGGTCAGAATCTTTCTTTCCGCCATCTTCTTCTTCCTCTTCTCCCCCTCCTCCTCCCCCTCTTCCTGTTCCTCTCCTCCTTGCTGCGAGGTCACGGTGACCTATGTGATAGAGAGCATCATTACCATTCCATCGGTGTGGAATGGGACTGTGAAGCCATATGGGTTCAAGTCCAAGATCGAGCTACTCAACACCGGCAAGAGGTCAGGTCCCGTTCTTAATCTCCTTTCCCTCTACGTCCTATCTCTGTCCATGCAACAAGCAACAAGAGACTAGCAACTAGGAAACAAAAAGAGCTCTTATAAAGGAAAGGAAACAAAAACCAAAACGTTTAACAATAAAATGCCATGTTTCCCATGTTTCTCACCACCAAGACCAGGTGGGGTTGTTGGAGGTGAGAATGGATTTCACCTGCAACGAGCTCCCCTCACTCAAATCTTACCATGTTTCACTCCTCTCTCGTCTTGTCTCTCTTCGTACCTTGCACCACTGGGACCTGGTCGGGTGGGAGGTGAGGGTGGAGTTCACTTGCAACGAGCTCATCACTCCACTGTTCCCCCTTGCGTCCATGTGCTTCCCCAACCCTCTCAAACTCTCTCAACCCATCTGAACCTGTGCATGACAGGGACCTGGTGGGATGGGAGGTGAGGGTGGAGTTCACTCGTAACGAGCTCATCACGCTGCTGGGGAACACTCAAGTGGAGTTTGAGCTGCCATACCCTGGTGAGAGGCCGTACCCAGCGCGGTGAGGTGCGATAGGCAATACACTCCCTCTGTTCTGCATCCTGCTTAATTGCCCTTTCTGGGGTGAGCTACCACCCACGACTTTTGGGACGTCTCAAAAACTGCCCATTCTGGGGGTGAGCTGCCAGCCAATGTGTGATTGAACAAGCACACGAGGACCTCATTACTCTGCTGGGCAACACTCAAGTGGAGTTTGAGCTGCCATACCCCCTGGTGGGTAGGATGCCATCCAAGCTACCCCATCACTGCACTGAGGCAATAAGGGGCTCCTCTTTAACCCCATCTCACATTACCTGCCTCTTTTCCCCCATTCCTTCCTTAAGTCGGTTTTTGAGTCGACTCAAAAACCTACCCCATCACTGCACTGAGGCAATAAGAGGCTCCTCCTCTCACATTACCTGCCTCTTTTCCCCCATTCCTTCCTTAATCCCCCCCCTAGCCCCTGCCATTCCCCCCACAGGCTCCTCACTTCTGTTCTCCAGCATTGACGAACAGAGCGGTTGACTCATCACTGTACACTAAGAGAGGAGGAGTCCCACACACACTACCTGCCTCTCCCCATTTTTCCCCATTCCCCCCTTTCCGCTGCACCCACAGGCTCAGCGCCGCTCTTCTCCAGCAGTGACAACCAGAGCGACCGACTCATCACTACACTGAGGGAATACTGGTCACCAGGGGCGCTTACACTACCTCCCCCCTTGTCATTGCCGCTCCCCCCTTCAGGTTCCGCGCTCCTATTCTCCAGCATTGATGATCAGAGCGACCGCCTCATCACGGCAATCCACGCGGGCGGCGACGTTCGGCAGTATGTGGTGTTTGCGGAGGTGTTTGGCACGGAGTTTGGGGCGGCGACTGCTGGCAAGGCGCTCCCGCGCACACTGTACCTCACGACACCAGGTGGGTGGGTTTTGAGACGTCTCAAAACTCTTCTTTCTTCACAAGGCGCTCCTGCGTACACTCTACCTCACGACACCAGGTGGGTGGGTTTTGAGACGTCTCAAAGCTCTTCTTTCTTCACAAGGCGCTCCTGCGTACACTCTACCTCACGACACCAGGTGGGTGGGTTTTGAGACGTCTCAAAACTCTTCTTTCTTCACAAGGCGCTCCCGCGTACACTCTACCTCACGACACCAGGTGGGTGGGTTTTGAGACGTCTCAAAACTCTTCTTTTTTCACAAGGCGCTCCCGCGTACACTCTACCTCACGACACGAGGTGGGTGGGTTTTGAGACGTCTCAAAACTCTTCTTTTTTCACAAGGCGCTCCCGCGTACACTCTACATCACGACACCAGGTGGGTGGGTTTTGAGACGTCTCAAAACTCTTCTTTTTTCACAAGGCGCTCCCGCGTACACTCTACCTCACGACACCAGGTGGGTGGGTTTTGAGACGTCTCAAAACTCTTCTTTTTTCACAAGGCGCTCCCGCGTACACTCTACCTCACGACACCAGGTGGGTGGGTTTTGAGACGTCTCAAAACTCTTCTTTCTTCACAAGGCGCTCCCGCGTACACTCTACCTCACGACACCAGGTGGGTGGGTTTTGAGACGTCTCAAAACTCTTCTTTCTTCACAAGGCACTCCTGCGTACACTCTACCTCACGACACCAGGTGGGTGGGTTTTGAGACATCTCAAAACTCTTCTTTTTTCACAAGGCGCTCCCGCGTACACTCTACCTCATGACACCAGGTGGGTGGGTTTTGAGACGTCTCAAAACTCTTCTTTCTTCACAAGGCGCTCCCGCGTACACTCTACCTCACGACACCAGGTGGGTGGGTTTTGAGACGTCTCAAAACTCTTCTTTCTTCACAAGGCGCTCCCGCGTACACTCTACCTCACGACACCAGGTGGGTGGGTTTTGAGACGTCTCAAAACTCTTCTTTCTTCACAAGGCACTCCTGCGTACTCTCTACCTCACGACACCAGGTGGGTGGGTTTTGAGACGTCTCAAAACTCTTCTTTTTTCACAAGGCGCTCCCACGTACACTCTACCTCACGACACCAGGTGGGTGGGTTTTGAGACGTCTCAAAACCCTTCTTTTTTCACAAGGCGCTCCCGCGTACACTCTACCTCACGACACCAGGTGGGTGGGTTTTGAGACGTCTCAAACCTCTTTTTTTTTCACAAGGCGCTCCCGCGTTCACTCTACCTCACGACACCAGGTGGGTGGGTTTTGAGACGTCTCAAAACTCTTCTTTTTTCACAAGGCGCTCCCGCGTACACTCTACCTCACGACACCAGGTGGGTGGGGCTTTCTTACCCACGACCAAACGGCCCCTCGACTCAACTTACTTCACCTGGCACCTGTTGCCCAGGGTATAGGTGTGTTCCTCTTTCAAGACATCGTGGATTGTTTCCGTTCAAGCTCCAGCATGCAATGTCTCAAACACTGGTTGCATTGGTGGGGTAAATAAGCCACATGTAGCCCGCTCATCTCTCCTCCCCTTCTTCCCTTCTCTGCTGCAAACTTTTGCTGTGTGTCAACCTTTCCCCCATCAATCCAAGGACCTTCTGAGATCTCTCTATCGCTTCTGCTTCCTTGCCTATCCTCCCACCCCTCTGTCTCCCCATCCCTACTTTCCCCCTTCCTATGCAGGCTTCCACTGTGCATCCAACCGCCCTCAGTTCCCGTCTCCCAACAGGATTCAGGTGAGCTTGCAAGCACGAACATTTTTTGGCGGCACCTCAAAAATAGAATCCAGCCGCCCTCACTTCCAATCTCCCAACAAGATTCAGTTGAATGCATAGAAGGGCACCTGTTTATCCCTGACAGCACGTGAATGCATAGAAGGGCACCTGTTTATCCCTGACAGCACGTGAATGCATAGAAGGGCACCTGTTTATCCCTGACAGCACGTGAATGCATAGAAGGGCACCTGTTTATCCCTGACAGCACGTGAATGCATAGAAGGGCACCTGTTTATCCCTGACAGCACGTGAATGCATAGAAGGGCACCTGTTTATCCCTGACAGCACGTGAATGCATAGAAGGGCACCTGTTTATCCCTGACAGCACGTGAATGCATAGAAGGGCACCTGTTTATCCCTGACAGCACGTGAATGCATAGAAGGGCACCTGTTTATCCCTGACAGCACGTGAATGCATAGAAGGGCACCTGTTTATCCCTGACAGCACGTGAATGCATAGAAGGGCACCTGTTTATCCCTGACAGCACGTGAATGCATAGAAGGGCACCTGTTTATCCCTGACAGCACGTGGATGCATAGAAGGGCACCTGTTTATCCCTGACAGCACGTGAATGCATAGAAGGGCACCTGTTTATCCCTGACAGCACGTGGATGCATAGAAGGGCACCTGTTTATCCCTGACAGCACGTGAATGCATAGAAGGGCACCTGTTTATCCCTGACAGCACGTGAATGCATAGAAGGGCACCTGTTTATCCCTGACAGCACGTGGATGCATAGAAGGGCACCTGTTTATCCCTGACAGCACGTGGATGCATAGAAGGGCACCTGTTTATCCCTGACAGCACGTGAATGCATAGAAGGGCACCTGTCACCCGTACCTCACTTGAATCCGTGCACTTGTTTGCTCTAACTCCCACTCTCAAACCGTGTACTTCTCAACCCTCAAACACAAGTCTGCTCTGCTACGTAATGTGCCTTGCTTAAAACCTTTCCTTTCCCTGTTGCTGACTCTTCTTTTATTCCCGACTCCCCATTCCCATCCAATCCCCCTCCTCTCAGGTCTGCTGCAAAGAAACCGCCTATCCGCCTCCCCCTCCTCCTCGCCCCCCTGCCCGCCTTCCCCCAGTCATCCCAGCTTTAACGGTCCAGATCGACGTGACAGCAGCGAGCGATCTGGACCATCAGATGCTCGTCACGATCCGCAATCTGCAGGCGGACAGGCGTGTTGGGCCCCCAAGACACGAGCCGTGGGCGCTCAGCTGGCGATGGACTCAGAATGAGGTGTGGGAAGGGTGTAGAGTTCAAGGTGGGGAGGGAATATGGTGTAAGCAGAGGACGGTTTGGGATTCAATTGTGAAAGAGAAGAAACCTATGACCCCCTTGGAGCAATCTTTTGAGACGTCTCAAAAGCCATGTGTATGCAGAAGTGTTTGGAGACGTCTCAAAACACTTCTTCATACACGTGTAAGCAGAGGACGGTTTGGGATTCAATTGTGAAAGAGTAGAAACCTATGACCCCCTTGGAGCAATCTGCAGCCCGACAAGCTTGTTGGGCCAAGCAATCTGCAGCCCGACAAGCTTGTTGGGCCAAGCAATCTGCAGCCTCCGAGGAACGACTCCTGGGCGCTCACCTGGCGACGGACGCAGAATGAGGTCCTTTCTTTTCTGTTAGGCTTGGGTTGGAGCTCAAGGTTTGAGGTCTAAAGTTTGGATTTGGGTCTGGGTTTTGTAGAAGAAGGTGCGGACCCCGAGCTGCAAACCCTACACCCTAAACCAGAAACCCCTGGGCGCTCAGCTGGCGACGGATGCAGCGAGTTGAGGCGGGTTTCAGTTTTAGGGTGTTGGTGGGTTTTACGGGTTCTTCTACGGCCTGCAGTACAGCAATCACCAGCACCCACTCGTGCTCCTCCTGCCCACCCCGCTTCCCTTTCTCCCATTCCCAACCAGGCTCCCTGCTGCCCCACCCACACACAAATTCCTCTCCCCCATCTGTTGCTCTCAGATTGCTTGGGATGGAAAGCATATGGGGCATACCAGCGACACAGCAAGGCAACTGCCAGCAGAAATCCGCCTCCTTTGCCATCGATGGAGCAGCCATCGCCAATGCCCACTCCTGCTACTCTTGTCCTATATTCCTCTCTCTTCCACTCAGATCATGTGGGGGGCATACGGAGCACAGGCGACACAACAGGGCAACTGCCAGCAGCATTCTGCCTCGTCCGCAGTCTACAGAGCGGCCATCGCCACCACCCACTCGTGCTCCTACCTTTCCCGCTCTTTCACACTGCCCTTCCCAACCCAGCTCCCTGCCCCCCACGCGCGCACATTCTCCTACCCTTCTCTTCCACTCAGATCGTGTGGAAAGCATCTGGGGCACAGGCGACACAACAGGGCAACTGCCAGCAGCAGTCCGCCACCTCCGCAGTCTACAGGGCAGCTATCGCCACCGCCCACTTGTGCAAACCTTCCCCTCTTTCTCCCACTCCCAACACCCTCTGTTGACTGTTGACTCCCAGATTGTATGGGAGGCATCTGGGGCACAGGCGACCCAACAAGGCAACTGCCAGCAGCAGTCCGCCTCCTCCGCAGTCTACGGGGCAGCCATCGCCACCGCCCACTCGTGCTCGCCCCGGCCCACCTTTGTGGATCTGCCTAGCGGGGCGTATGGCAGTGAGAGTGGGCGGGACCTGGGGGCCACCCTGGGAGTGCGCCTCTCCTGCTGCAAGAACGGGTCCATCGGGTTGCGCTCGTTTCCATATGGCGACCCTGCGCTTGCCCAGTACCAGGTGGGTGGGTGGGAGGGAGGCTTTATTTTGTGTGCTGGGGGGGCGTACGGCAGTGAGAGTGGGCGGGACCTGGGGGCCACCCTGGGAGTGCGCCTCTCCTGCTGCAAGAATGGCTCCATAGGGCTGCGCTCGTTTCCATATGGCGACCCTGCGCTTGCCCAGTACCAGGTGGGTGGGTAGGAGGGAGGCTTTCACCCTGTGCCTTGGGGGGGCGTACGGCAGTGAGAGTGGGCGGGACCTGGGGGCCACCCTTGGGGTGCGCCTCTCCTGCTGCAAGAACGGGCCTGCGCTCGTTTCTGTATAGCGACCCTGCTCTCGCTCACTACCAGGTGGGTGGGTATCCTGTCTCTGTCCGGGGGGTGTTGTTGTCTCTGTCCGGGGGGTGTTGTTGTCTCTGAGAGTGGGCGGGACCTGGGGGACACCCTTGGGGTGCGCCTGTCATGCTGCAAGAACGGGTCTATAGGTCTGCGCTCGTTTCCCTATGGTGACCCTGCTCTCGCTCACTACCAGGTGGGTGGGTGGGTGCGTGGGAGTGGGCAGTCCGTCCCTCCATCTCAATCACCCTATACCCCTCCTTCTCAATCACCCTATACCCCTCCATCTCAATCACCCTATACCCCTCCATCTCAATCACCCTATACCCCTCCATCTCAATCACCCTATACCCCTCCATCTCAATCACCCTATACCCCTCCATCTCAATCACCCTATACCCCTCCATCTCAATCACCCTATACCCCTCCATCTCAATCACCCTATACCCCTCCATCTCAATCACCCTATACCCCTCCATCTCAATCACCCTATACCCCTCCATCTCAATCACCCTATACCCCTCCATCTCAATCACCCTATACCCCTCCATCTCAATCACCCTATACCCCTCCATCTCAATCACCCTATACCCCTCCATCTCAATCACCCTATACCCCTCCATCTCAATCACCCTATACCCCTCCATCTCAATCACCCTATACCCCTCCATCTCAATCACCCTATACCCCTCCATCTCAATCACCCTATACCCCTCCATCTCAATCACCCTATACCCCTCCATCTCAATCACCCTATACCCCTCCATCTCAATCACCCTATACCCCTCCATCTCAATCACCCTATACCCCTCCATCTCAATCACCCTATACCCCTCCATCTCAATCACCCTATACCCCTCCATCTCAATCACCCTATACCCCTCCATCTCAATCACCCTATACCCCTCCATCTCAATCACCCTATACCCCTCCATCTCAATCACCCTATACCCCTCCATCTCAATCACCCTATACCCCTCCATCTCAATCACCCTATACCCCTCCATCTCAATCACCCTATACCCCTCCATCTCAATCACCCTATACCCCTCCATCTCAATCACCCTATACCCCTCCATCTCAATCACCCTATACCCCTCCATCTCAATCACCCTATACCCCTCCATCTCAATCACCCTATACCCCTCCATCTCAATCACCCTATACCCCTCCATCTCAATCACCCTATACCCCTCCATCTCAATCACCCTATACCCCTCCATCTCAATCACCCTATACCCCTCCATCTCAATCACCCTATACCCCTCCATCTCAATCACCCTATACCCCTCCATCTCAATCACCCTATACCCCTCCATCTCAATCACCCTATACCCCTCCATCTCAATCACCCTATACCCCTCCATCTCAATCACCCTATACCCCTCCATCTCAATCACCCTATACCCCTCCATCTCAATCACCCTATACCCCTCCATCTCAATCACCCTATACCCCTCCATCTCAATCACCCTATACCCCTCCATCTCAATCACCCTATACCCCTCCATCTCAATCACCCTATACCCCTCCATCTCAATCACCCTATACCCCTCCATCTCAATCACCCTATACCCCTCCATCTCAATCACCCTATACCCCTCCATCTCAATCACCCTATACCCCTCCATCTCAATCACCCTATACCCCTCCATCTCAATCACCCTATACCCCTCCATCTCAATCACCCTATACCCCTCCATCTCAATCACCCTATACCCCTCCATCTCAATCACCCTATACCCCTCCATCTCAATCACCCTATACCCCTCCATCTCAATCACCCTATACCCCTCCATCTCAATCACCCTATACCCCTCCATCTCAATCACCCTATACCCCTCCATCTCAATCACCCTATACCCCTCCATCTCAATCACCCTATACCCCTCCATCTCAATCACCCTATACCCCTCCATCTCAATCACCCTATACCCCTCCATCTCAATCACCCTATACCCCTCCATCTCAATCACCCTATACCCCTCCATCTCAATCACCCTATACCCCTCCTCCCAACCCCCCCCTCCTAACGCATCAGCCACTCTCTCGCTCCGTTCCGCCTGCCCATCGGTCAAACGAGCCAGTCATTCCCCTCCATCACCTGCCATTCTTTACACTATCACTCTATTCCCATCTTCTATTTCCTTCCCTCCCCTTCCGTGCCTTCTCCCATGAGGGCAACACCTCTCTGGCTCAGTTCCGCCTCCGCATCGGCTGCACGCGCCAGTTCAAGAGCATCCCCGCCATCGCCCCACCTTTTACCTGTCTGCAACCCTCCCTTCCATGCAACCCCTTCTACTTCCCTTCTCCCATCAGGGCAACACCTCCTTGGCTCAGTTCCGCCTCTGCATCGGCCGCACGTGCCAGTTCACGCAACAGTCCATGCCATGTCACACCATTCATGTGCACCCTTCCTTCTTATCTCCTATCCCCATCAGGGCAACACCTCCTTGTCTCAGTTCCGCCTCCGCATCGGCCGCACGTGCCAGTTCACGCAACAGTCCATGCCATGTCACACCATTCATGTGCACCCTTCCTTCTTATCTCCTATCCCCATCAGGGCAACACCTCCTTGTCTCAGTTCCGCCTCCGCATCGGCCGCACGTGCCAGTTCACGCAACAGTCCATGCCATGTCACACCATTCATGTGCACCCTTCCTTCTTATCTCCTATCCCCATCAGGGCAACACCTCCTTGGCTCAGTTCCGCCTCCGCATAGGCCGCACACGCCAGTTCAAAGCCATTCCCTCCATCGCTCCGCCGCGCAACCTCTCCCTCGGCCTCCCTGGAATAGTCTGCTCTGCTGGTGTTCGCATCGACTCCACCCAGTTCCCAGTGAGTCACATTGCACGCATGCTTTGTCTTTCTCAGGTGTTCTGGTGGTGTTCTGGTGGTGTTCTGGTGGCACTAGGTCTTAAGGTCGCACGCGCCAGTTCAAGGCCATCCCCACCATCGCTTTACCTTGCAACCTCTCCATCAGCCTCCGGGGAAGAGTTTGTTCTGCTGCCGTCCCCATCGACCCCACCCAGTTCCCGGTGAGTCACTGGCAGGGCCTTGCACTTCTAGTCTAGGGTTACATCAGTTCACATCGGGTTCGAATGGCCCTAGGTTTCTAGCTCTTCTCGCTCCCACGCGCCAGTTCAAGGCCATCCCCTCCATCACTCTGCCTCGCAACCTCTCCCTCAGCCTCCCGGAACTGTCTGTTTCCCTGCTGACCGCGTCGACCACACCCAGTTCCCAGTGAGTCGATGGGATTAGCAGCAGCTGGAAAAAGGGCGTGGGCTTGTAGCTACTTCATCTTATCCTACCACTTCCAAACACCCCGCGCTCCCACACCTTCCCCCACTCCCATCAGGTCAACCCCTCTCGCAACCTATCAGCGGTCGCCACGTGGCGCTACGCCTGCTACCGCGACCCTTCCTCCCCGCCTCCTCGCCCCGCCTGCTGCGTGTCTTTCTCAGCCGCTTTCAACAACACCGGCTCCCCTCAGGGCGCCTGGGGTAGCATCTTTGGCCGCAGCAGCAGCACCGGCAGTGGCAGCGGACAGTTCTATGTGTCTCCCTGCAAAAGCTGCGCCTGTGGATGCCCAGGGGAGGCTGTTTCTTCGTCTTCCTCCTCCTCTTCCCCCTCCTCCTCCTCCTCCGCCTCTTCCGCTTCCCTGTCCTCGGTTTCTCCTCCTACCTCTTCGTTCTCCCCCCCATCGCTTTCGAGTATCCTCCTCGTTGTTCCGTCTGCTGGGAATGGGACGGCTACTAACAGTAGCAGCTATCGCAATGTGGGGCTCCGTGATTGGCCGATGTGTTCTGCTCCTGGTGCGTGATTGGCCCACATGTGCTGCACCTGGTGTGTGATTGGCCCGTGTATGCTGCTCCTGGTGGGTCTTGATCCCGCGTAATCTTCCCATTCTCCTCTTTATTCTCTTGCAGTGTTCCATCCTACTTCTCTCATTCCCTTCCTCCTCTCCTCCTTTTCTCCACCTTACCTCATAATGCCCTCCCTACCTTCCCTTCTCCCTTCCTTCCCTCCTCCCCTCCTGCCCTCCTCCCCTCCTTCCCTTCCCCTCTCCCTCCTATATCCCTCACTTGGTGCATTCAGATACGTTGTTTGATACGATCGGTGGCAGGGGCGATGTGGTCCCTTCCAAGAAGCTTCCCAGCTGGTATGGCAAGGACAGGGATTTTATTTCTGCCCGGTGCCGCGACAGCTGCCCGATCCACCTGCACTGGCACGTGGTGGCAGTGTATGAGGACGGATTCGTTGCCAAGGTGGGTTTGATCATGTCCTCTTTATAAGGCATCGATCTGTTAAGAAACAAACACAAACGTGTACATGCGGGATCCATCTGAACTGGCACGTGGTGGCAGCATACGAGAACGGATCTGTTGCCAAGGTGGGTTTGATTCTTTTCCTCCCTTCATTCATAGCGACATTGCTTTCAAGAGCATACACCTGGCAGTACACCTAGTGGTGGCCGTGTTTGAGGACGTATTCGTTGCCAAGGTGGGCTGAATGACAATGGCTCGTACACACACACACACGATTGAAGAGCATGCACAGCACACACTTCACCTGCACTGGCACGTGGTGGTGTCAGTATATGAAGATGGATTTTTCGCCAAGGTAGGCTGAATGGCATGGCACGCACACACGATTGAAGAGCATGCACACACACACGATTGAAGAGCATGCACACTCACAATTGAAGAGCATGCACACTCACAATTGAAGAGCAGGTGTGTTTCCTCTCTTCCCCACCACTCTCCCCCCTGCCCCATCTGCTGCCATCAGCTGAGCATCATCAACCGGGGCAACAACAGTGTGTCTGACTGGGTAGCACTCATCGCCCTCCCTTCCATCGCCAACACCTCTACCATCTACTCATTCGGATACGCCAATGTGTCTGGTACGACCCTTTCTTTGAGACACTCTTGTCTTTGAGGCCCTCCCGTTGAGGCTCAAGGCCTAGCCTATGCTGCGTAGGGCTGTGTGCACCAGTGTCTGACTGGGTAGCACTCATCACGCCCCCTTCCATCGCCAACACCTCTGCCATCTACTCGTTCGGATACGCCAATGTGTCTGGTATGACCCTCCGATAGACGGTCCGGGGTTTGGGCAGTTTAGGGTGGTGTGAACTAGCCTCTGACTGGGTCGCACTCATCACCCTCCCTTCAATTGCCAACACCTCTGCCATCTACTCGTTTGGATACGCCAATGCCTTGGGTACGGCCCTTTGTTTAAGGTGCCGTCTAGGGTGGGTGCATCAGTCTCTCACTGTGTCTCATCGCCCTCCCTTCCATCGCCAACAACTCTGCCATCTACTCGTTTGGATACGCCAATGCCTCGGGTACGACCCTCTGTCAACATCTCTGGTACCACCCTTGGAGAAAATACCTTGGGTCTTCATGTTTCCGGATTTCCTATTGGTGTTTGGTTTGTCATCAGCCTTTGTCTCTCCCTTTCTCACCAGTCCCACTGCTCTCCTCGCTTCTCTCCCACCCTTTCTCTCTGCTCTCTCCTCGCTTCTCTCCCACCCTGTGCCATTGAAACGAGGTGACTTTTGAGTCAACTCAAAAGTCGCTTCATTTCCTATTTGTGTTCAGTTTCTCATCAGCCTTTGTCCCTCCCTTTCTCACTTCTCTCCTCGCTTCTCTCCCACCCTTTCTCTCTGTTCTGCTCTGTTCTCCCTTCCCTCCCTTTCGCTCTCCTCTCCTCCCTTCTCTTCCTTCCGTTCGCTCTGCTTTGCTCCTTTCTCTCCCTCCCTTTCTCTCCGCCTTGCCTTGGTCTGCCATTTGATTTTCCCCAGCCACGTCCTGCCTCCCCTACGGCTTCACAGGCAGCACAGCTGGCTGGAAGGCACGCCTCATCCCCTCAAGGCACATCTCTTTTCCACCCCTCCTCACTATCCAACCACCTCCCGCGTGCTATACGGCTGCACAGGCAGCAACAGCTGGCTGGAAGGCACACCGTCTCCCCCTTTCCCCCTCCCCCACCTTTTTCCCCTCCCCCTTCCTCCCTCCCCCCCTCCCCCCCTCCAGCCACGTCCCGCGTGCTCTACGGCTTCACAGGCAGCAACAGCTGGCTGCTAAAGACGCTGCCGCTAGAGGCACGCGGCATCCCCTCAAAGCGCCTCTGCCCCCCCTGCTTTGCCCCTTCTCTTTCCCCGCCCCCCTCCAGCCACGTCCCGCATGCTCTACGGCTTCACAGGCAGCAACAGCTGGCTGGAGGGAACACCGTCTCCCTTCAAGGGGAAGAGCTTTGGCAACGTGCAGAGCATTTTCAAGGTGTGCAGTGGTTTGCCTGTCTGATCAGCTGTGGCTGAGCAGTAAAGAGGGCTGTAGCAGGGGAATAAGGTAGGCTGTAGCAGCACTGCCTGACCTCAAGGCGAAGAGCTTTGGCAACGTGCAGAGCGTTTTCAAGGTGGGCTGTGGCTAGTGTGGTGGGCTGTGGCTAGTGTGGTGGGCTGTGGCTAGTTTGTCTCTCATGCCCTACCTAATCTCCCTCCCTTCTCTTGGCAGTTCGCTCTGCTCCCAGGGTTCAACCTCACAACAGCCGACGGGAAAAACGTCTTCCCCTCCCTCCTCTCCTTCGACGGCCACCCCTGCTCCATACCAGACCACTTCCCAGTCCGCCAAGCTGCAAAAATGCCCCATCCCTTCATCCCCTCCCCTTTGCCCCCATCCCCCTCCCTTCTCCTTGCAGTTTGGTCTCGTCCCAGGTCTCAGCCTCACAGCAGCTGACGGGAAAAGCCTCTTCCCCTCCCTCCTCTCCTTCGACGGTTACCCTTGTTCCGTGCTCCCACTCTTCCCTCTCTCCTGACCCTCATTCTTTCCTCCCTCTCTTCCTTCCGTCTTACTCTCTTCCCTCTCTCCTTGCTTTGCAGTTCGCTCTGCTCCCAGGGTTCAACCTCACAGCAGCTGACGGAAAGCACCTCTTCCCCTCACTCCTCTCCTTCGACGGCTATCCTTGCTCCATGCCAGATCACTTCCCGCTCCTCCCTCCGCCTCAGCCGCCCTCCACGGCCATCCCAACGCGATACATCGCTGTCATTGTGGCCGTGCTGCTCGCTGCTGTGCTCATGCTCGGCGTGCGCTTTTAGGACATCTCTTCATGTATACACCACTGCATTGCATTCCCCTCCGCCTCAGCCGCCCGCCACGGCCATTCCCCTGCGATACATTGCTGTGATTGTCACTGTGCTGCTCGCTGCTGTGCTCATGTTTGGTGTGCTGTGCTCATGTTTGGTGTGCTGTGCTCATGTTTGGTGTGCTGTGCTCATGTTTGGTGTGCTGTGCTCATGTTTGGTGTGCTGTGCTCATGTTTGGTGTGCTGTGCTCGTGTTTGGTGTGCTGTGCTCGTGTTTGGTGTGCTGTGCTCGTGTTTGGTGTGCTGTGCTCGTGTTTGGTGTGCTGTGCTCGTGTTTGGTGTGCTGTGCTCGTGTTTGGTGTGCTGTGCTCATGTTTGGTGTGCTGTGCTCGTGTTTGGTGTGCTGTGCTCATGTTTGGTGTGCTGTGCTCATGTTTGGTGTGCTGTGCTCATGTTTGGTGTGCTGTGCTCATGTTTGGTGTGGTGTGCGCTTCTAGATGACTCGCTTATGCATGGATCTCTAAGCCGCCCGTCACATTTGCACCCTCCACAGCCACCCTCCTCAGCACTTCCCTTCCCCTGCGATACATTGCTGTGATTGTCGCGGTGCTGCTCGCTGCTGTGCTCATGTTGGGTGAGCACCTGTAGACTGTCAGGCTCAGATAGCACAGGTAACTTCCACTCGCAGGCACTGCTACAGCCTCCCCTCCTCCTCCCTCCACCTCAGCCTCGCCACTGCCATCACTGTGCTGCTTTCCTGTGCTCATGTTAGTCTGTGTCCATAGAATAAGAGATTAGAACAATGGCACTCATACATCTGAGAAAATATGTTTATTTCCACTACAGGATTGTATTCTACACTCCCCCAGGAAACTGCTGTTAGACCCTACCAGAGAACTACTACCAAGTCACCAACATCCCCACCATCCTATCAACTACACCCACATTTCCAAGTTACCACGATTGTAACCTATTTCATCTACTACTAACGTCCAGAGCTGGTCAATTCATCGACTCACTTTGGGCTATGAAATTCAAAAGGTCTACTTCTTGATGACCAGAGGTCGCATCATGTCGTTATCCTCGTGGTCGAGAATGTGGCAGTGCCACACGTAGCCAGGGCCAGTGGTCGGGTCAAACTCGAACGGCATCATGTCCTGGACACAAGCAGGAGGGCAACAATAGAAAAGATAAGTTGACATAAACTCTTGTTAGTGGGACTGTGGGCCCGTTTTGGTGCACTATCTGGTGTTTGAAGTGCGATGGACGAAACGACAAAACTCACACATCGGAATGATGGGTGTTTCACAGCATACCTGGCGCTTGAATGTGAGAATGAGCTTCAAAACTTCCCCAGGATAGGCCAGGGTGGTGTCCTTCCAGCCCCTCTCATGGTAGCCAACCAGCACCCGGTTACCAGTGTAACAGCTTGGCTTTGTTTTGTCCGTAAATGAGCAACGGCCAGCCTGGTAACCAGCCACATCGAACGGGCGGCGCCAGGCAGGGCGGTGTTGTACAAGATGAACATGCATCGGATGCGCATCAGCTGATAGGTTGATCAAGTACCAGGCCTCAGTATCACCCTGCAAAGATTAAGAAGGCCAGAAAAGGTGCACAATTAGAAAAGAAAGAAAAAATAAGAGACACACACACACACACACACACACACACACACACACACACACACACACACACACACACACAAAAAAAGGAGCAGAAGTGTAGGCATACCAAGCCACAGTTATTTATCATCATGCCAATAAAACTAACTGAAGAGATGCAATGTACCTGCTTTGGGGTCTCGGTAACAGGGTCCATGTACGACTTGCCATCGATTGTAACACGAATGGGCAGGTTCGTCGCACGATCCATGATCTCCACGAGCGTGGCGTATCGCTCTCTGTTCACCGCGGGCACCTGGGGCATCCACTGCGTTCAGCGAAGAACATGCGAAAGAGGAAACAAGATCAGACGCCCATCTCGACATAGTCAGAGACCGCTCGTTGGTCAGTTAGGCAAGAGGGTAACGACATTCTGCGATTGGACACCGAAAGGTTGAAGGGTCGCGGAGTAATGCTTTTCGGGATGGCGAGGGTGGAAATTCATTATGGATTTGCTTTCTTTTAGATCAATGCGAATAAAAATAAGCGTGAACTTACGCTGATCTTCTTGGGAATAACTGGGGACGGGATGCGCTTCCTGTTCAAAATGTTGATGCGCATCACCACGCCCGTTTCCGCAGTCACGGGCTGGCCCGCGGGGAAGGGCGCGCGGGCGTCGTTCGTTACAATCACGTCCTTGCAGTCCGACGGGACAAGCGAAAAGTCGACGAGGAGATCCACGCGCTCGCCGGGGGCCAGAAGCACCTCGGTGCGGCGCACAGGGCGGACGAGATACCCGCCATCGGTGCCGATCTAAGGATGATGGGACGGAAAAGGGGGGGAGGGACAGGGGAAGGAGGAGGATGCGGACTCGAGAGGAGAGGGGGGCAAAAGAGGCGTGAAGCACTGCCGCGGCGAGTGCGCTCGTCGCCGACAACGAATATACTCTACTCGCCACGTATGTCCGGGTTGCAAAAGGGAACCGCGTGTGCAGGGGAAGACGGTAGGTCACTTTAATGTAACCCGAGGTTTAAGGTTCAGCTTGCCAGGAGATGCCAGGGATTTTCCGCTCACCTGGATGACGGACATCGCGGCGCCCTGGATGGGCGGAATGAAGTTGGGGTAATTGGCGCGCGCGGCGCACACCCACTTGAGGTTGAACACGCGCGCATTGGCGGCGTTGAGCAGGCGCATGCGGTACATTGCGGGGCGCACCCGCATGTACGGCCACACCTGACGAGCAGCAGAAAAGCGCGGGGAAGAAGGGGACAAGACAAGGAGAGAAATAAGTTTTGAGCTGATTTGCTGAGGCGCCTGCTCATCGCCGTTGTCGGGAAGTGATAAATGTCTGAAAACGCGGCAAGACGACGGTTCGATCGGAATGCGACGACGCGTACCGACGATAGTGTTGCCCAGATACTCGGGGTTCAATTTCGGTAGAGGGGAGTTTGAAGTCACCTCACCTCGGTTGAGTCAGACTCGAAAAGGTCATGCTTACCTTGCCGTTGACGACGATAGTGTTGCCCAGATACTCGGGGTTCCAGTTGGGATGCACGCGCGGCACGATTCCGACATTCGGGTAGTTAATCGAACCGTTCGCGAAGAACGTGCGATCCGCAATCGCCAGTGCCACCTCGCGCGCGCCGCTCGGCAACCACCCCAGCTTGCGCTCGTACCCCTTGGGGTCCTTAATCACGTAGAGCCCGCCGATGCCGGCGACGGTATTAAGGCGCGTCCAGCCGAGAGTGTGGTCGTGGTACCAGATCGCAGCGGGGTTTTGCTTGTTGGAGTAGGTGTAGAGACGGGACTTGAACGTGGGCCCCGTTTCGCCGAACTGCGTGAACCACGCTAGTGGGTGGCCGTCGCCGTCGCTTTGCTGCTCACCGCCGTGACGATGCGGCACTGGGAACACGAACGATGATAGCACATACGTCACGGTTAGAATAGGTGGAGAATAAGGAAGAGGCGAAGTGCAGCTTGTGAAGTGAGAGAACGGAGGAGCGATTTGCGAAGAAAGCATTGGTAGTAACAACATGCGAGGCCGAAAATCGCGCTTGTTGCTGCTGCCACAACGAGTCGTCTAAGTGGACATTGTTTGGGGACATACCAACGGGAATGCCACCGAGCTTCGGCTTGGGAATGCCGGGCATGAGAGAGTAGTCTACAGTGAACATGTGTTGCCTGTCCAGCAGGCGATTCTCGAAATACACCTGCGACGCGACACGACGGATCAATAAGAAATCACGAAACAGCATTTTGTAGTGGAGATATCATGTGTTAGCTACAATGCCTGCGAATCATGTAACCAACGCTGTTCGCGACTTACCTTGGTTTCCACGCCACGCTGGGCGACGATGACCGGGCCGGGGTAGTAGGCGGTCTTCTCGTCCTTACCATACACGTACTGCTTCGTCGCAGGCAGATCGCGATGAAATTTCTGTCGGTAGAAAAAAGACAGACAAACAAACAAATAAACAGAAATGAGGGAGCGGTTCAGGCGTATGCAACACAGCATATGAAGCGACACGGGAGAAACGGTGGCGCACCGAAGCTGAATGGGCTGCATTCGCAATGACGCGTACTACGGGAAACCCACAATGACGCATGGCATAGTAAACGCATTGCGCTTGGTCTGAGCCTTATTCAGTTGTGAACTGACAGTAGCTAACACTCACCTGGTACTTCTGATACACGCCGATCTTCACCAGCTTCCCCGTCGTTCCGTCGATAACGTCAAGCGGGTTCGTCGCGATGTCGTCCACGAACTTGCAAAGCGGCTTGCGCGGGAAGCGGTTCTTGCACCGCGGCCCGGCGGAAGTTGCGGCGGGAGCTACGGCGCCAGAAGCAAGCAGCGCCGCGCTGCAGAGCAGCGCCACGAAGAGCCACGCCTTCGACATGGTTGGGTAACACAACGCGGAAGGTGTTGTCAGGGCCAATAAGAGGAGATCGCGCGTGGTAAAAACTGTTCCTAGTAATGGCGGCTGGAGGGACAATGCGTGCACGAGAAATTGGGAACTCCACCAACCCTGGGCAATGGACGATCTGCTATGGGGAATGAACCAAGAGGGGCACTTTATTGACAGCCCAAGCTGCTTTGGAGGTTGAACCAGGTTCGCCACCAGGCGAACGAACCTACTCTGTTGCTCTGTCTAGGAACACTGAGTCAGACTGTGCGGGGCACGATACAGTACTGGTTCGGCAGGAGAGCTTACCCCAAGCCTCGCGGGCTTGGTGCACCAGGCGGCCAGTCCCAGTCATCGTTCCGCCAGCCCGATTCGACAAACCCCTCCTTTTCGTCCCCGCTTTTACTGTCCTTCCTCTTCTCCCCCGAAACGCCATGCGCGCACTTAGATACAGTTCTGTCTCTCCCCATTCCCCGTCGATTCCTTCCCCAAACCCAGACGACGCGAGCAATTGTAAACTGGCTGGTCCAGATGCGATTTTGGTTGGCGTACTGTGCTTGAGGAAAATGTTTTGGTACTTTCCTCAAACAAACCTTCAATTACCACACGAGGAACGGAAATATCTCTGACTGCAAGGGGTTCTGGTATTGGAACTAAAACCAGCACAAGGATGACCAGGTGAGTGATTGCGGTGAAATGAAATATATTCACAAGTTGACCAGCGGCTGCAATGCTATCTTCCTCGCTGCGCGGCCTTCCGTGTTGGGGCATTTGGCCCAGACAAGCCACGGGTTACGGACGGACTAATCTCAACAGACTCCCTCAATAAAATTAAAATCATATTGCTCGTGTTCTCCGGGACAGGGGATGTTGGGGTGGAAACATTGAGTGAAACTCCACGGGGTTTTCGGGGTTTGCTAACCTGAAACATCCGCACCAGAACTTGGTGTACACTTCATTTACATATCACGAAATAGTGTTGTTGCTGGTCCA